AAAAAGTTCTATATTCAAGTTAATTAACTTTAGAACTTTGTTTACCATGACATTGTCATGAACCTGTGATATAACATTACGAACAATATTTGTACAGTGTTGCCCGGATAAGCTCAAAAAAAATTCCCTTATCGATACATTTATAGATTACAAGTATTACTGTTGAATGTTGTTTACAAGATGTCCTTGCATCTACAATATATGTATCAATTATATGTTATATTTGAAATTGATGTGAATAAAGTTATATGAAAATAAAATTATTGTATGTTTTATTTCCATTTGTTTATTTTTTTAACTTAATCTCTTTTATTGACAAGTGTTAAACTAATTAAAAATTTGATGATAAATCAATCAGAATCCCAATATCTGCCCTAAACAGTTACCCATATCATCTTGAAATACGAAGCCATGGTTAAAAAAAAATGAAATTGTAGCAGCCACAACGTCAATAACGTAATACTTCTGAGAAGAAGGATTGAGTCGACTGCACTGGACTATGGAAGTTCGAAGGCACAATAAACCAAAAAGATGCAGTCTGGGGAGCACAAAGTATGCGTCCCCTAGTATCCGTCATCATCATCAATATCTGCCCTTCCTCGCCTTAAACATTGTTGCTTCTTAGTTGGAAATAAAAACCTTTGCTTAGTTCAATGAAATTCAATTCACTTCCCTCGACATTTTTTATGAGAATACTTTTTAGATAAAAAGATCCTAAATGGCAAAGTAGCCACCTACTACCAAAGCAACCCTGCAAACAAAAGAAGAAATTGTTTCTTTACAAAAAGAGAATATGACCTATTGCTTTACTGACCTCAGTGGTTTTCAAGATGGAAAAATTAACCAAACCTTTTAAATGTTCGTATCATTGTATTAAACCGAGGTACAATACATATTAAACTGACAATATCGATAACTAAATAGATAGGTAATGTTGTTATCAAGGAAATTTAAAAATCAAAATATCGCAAACTGGGTGGTATCCATGTTTGTTTGGTAAGAATCTTCAAATTACAGAAGCTAAATATTGGGTTAAAACTTTTTTCTCGTCTTTCGTATAATAAAGAAAGTTTCATAACGTTACGAAAAGAATCAATATTTTTCATCGTTTCAAATAAAAAGTGATAATGCTCAACAGGAAGAAGTGATTAGCAATTGATGAACCCTTTAGTTAAAAATAATGGGATTTTTAATAGGCAGTAGCTAACTGAAAGATGGATGGTTCTTCAGAACGCGAAGCGCCTCTGTGTCTCAATTACGACGAATTTAGGAAATAAATGTTTAATCCCCATTTTTATAAGCTTACTGCTCAATTGTGAACCAAGTTTTAAAAAAATGAAAATTCACGTTTGAGGATTGACATCTTATATTATTATACATTACCTTTATTACATTATTTTTAAAAATAAAACCAGAAATTTATAAAATGGCCGATCAAATCATCAATTCTCTTATAAAATTAAATTTCAGTTGGGGCCACGTGAGAGGCCGCCTTCTCATTTTCACCATATCCTTCCCCCAAGAATATAGTAAAAACTATGGAATCTCTGAACTCGTAGTCAGGCTAATATTGTAAGATAAGGCATAAATAAAAAATAAATATATCGAATTTCCGTTAACCGACCTCGTCAATGGGAAACTAGCCATATAATGCGAAGATATCTTTTGCCAACCTACCACGCAGTAACTTAAGAAACTTAGTAAACCCTATACCGGCGGACCTCGCCAATTAACTAAAATATTCGTTCTGGAGCTTTTGAACTTAACGCCCTACCTGTCTAAAGGTGGGGCTTGAGGAAGATAATGGGTTGTTTTTTTTAACATTGTCTTTGATTAAATTGGAATCCTTAATGTGTCCTCTTTGCAAATACTTCAGAGGACCCTAGCCCGGATTAACATAACTTGTGAGTTATTAATAATTCGCTATACAGGGTGTCCTTTTTAGATGGCCCGACTGAATTTTATACTGAACTCCCATTATGAGAGCAAATCTTAATTCCTGGAAGTAAATTTATTAGAATATTGGAAAATTGAGTATTGAATTATATATTATGGAATATTGAATGTAACGAATAGGTTACAATAATACCTATTCATTACATTAAATATTCCATTCAAAATGAACTGAAGAGCACATTTTTCTGATGAACACCGAGTTCATATGTAGGACTGCTTTATTGAAAGTGCTGGTATTGTGCGTCGTGCAGTCGAGCAGTACTCCCAGAAATTTCCTGATCGCCCCAGAGAAAACCACAAAATATTCATTCGTTGGATCAGTTGCTGTTCCATCACCAAGAAACCGGCAGCGTAATTTCGACGAAGAGCTAAATATTTTACTGTATTTCGCGAAAATCCGAATTCCTCTCTCAAAAAGTTAAACGATCAGAGACAGAAGGGAATGGCAAGGGGGTGGGTGATCGAGATGCGATAGTTTTTACTATATTCTTGGAGGAAGGGTATCGTGAAAAAGAGAAGGGTCTCTCACGCAGCCCCCAACTGAAACTTAATTTTATAAGAGGATTGATGATTTGATCGGCCATTTTATAAATTTCTAGTTTTATTTTTAAAAATAATGCAATGAAGGATACATATATAGTGTGTCAATCTTCAAACGTGCATTTTCATTTTTTCTTCTTTTTTGGATCAGAATTGGGTTCAAAATTGGATTCAAAATGGAGCTAAAATCACTATTAAATATTTATTTCCTAAATTCGTCCTAATTGAGACACAGAGGCCCGAAAAACCGTTCGTCTTTCTGCTAAGCCTAGCCGATTAAAAAACCCATTATTTTTTAGCTAAAGGGTTCATCAAATTGCTAATCACTTCTTCCTGTCGAACTTCATCAAATTGCTAATCACTTCTTCCTGTCGAACTTCATCAAATTGCTAATCACTTCTTCCTGTCGAACATTATCACTTTTCGGGAAACTATGAAAATTCAGCCGGGCCATCTAAAAAAGATACCTTGTATACTATACAAACAAATAAATAGTTACATAAATAAAATAAATACGAATAACTCAATTATCGATAACAAATAAATAGACATTAACATACATACAACAAACCGACATGACTAAATTTATCCAAATCACATATTCCATGCAATGCAAAGGTAAATATAGCACCGTGAAATTCCACCTACCTTGACTCACATCAGTCCGAAACGAGTTTTGGCTTCACTCTGTTGGAAAATGATTTTCCTTTGAAACTCAATCTCATTTAGTACTACGTCGTCAAACAAAAGACAAATCAATTGCTCGAGAATATGAAAATAACGTTCGACTGTGCGACTCTACTGCACTATCAAAACTCCAAAACATTTTCGCTGAGCCGAAGTATGTATTGACCAGCCCAATGAGGTTTTTTGAACAGTTTTCATTAGTAATACACGACCGCCACAAAACTAACCAAAAAAGACAGATTATAAAATAAAGCTTGTATACTTTCGAATAAGCAAGTGAATATGCACAAAAAACTAATGTATTTTGTTTCAGAAGAAGAGAATTAATTGTAAAGAAAAGTTTGCAATACCAAAACTTCCTAGTGAGTATTAATTTAATGTCTTTAATTTAAGTGGCTGAATTTTTTGTAGATTGGAATATTAATTATCCGTACGTCCAGATTGGTTGTAGTAAATGATGTGTAAATTTGTTTTGTACTGAGATTTTCGATCTGTTGTCAAGTAGTCTTTTGAGTAGTTTTTACATCTGTTCAGCCCCATTCTTTTGAGAAATGTGTGGGTGTTCCAACTAAATCTTTTATCGAGGAAGAGTCGCAAATAGCGGACGGCATTGACTGCTGGGAGAGGAACAGATTTTTAGTAGACTGGAGGAAAGATGATACTGCGAGGAATCTTGAACCATCCTTCCAAGGAGAGATGGTCTGGAGGTTTCTGAAGCCCTCCCTGGGTGGGGTCCTTGGGTTTGCTGGAAGGATGGAGGTATCGTCTGCATATGTGAGGAGTACTGTACCGGGATTGACAGGAATGTCTGTAGAGTATAATAAAGAGTAAATGAGGCCAAGGATACTGCCTTGCGGAACATCCGCTTTGACATAGTTGATGGGGGAGAATGATGTCCCGACTCGTACTTTAAGGGAGAATGCTATAATGCCTGCCAAGCTGCGGCACTAATGAATGGTAGAGTGATATCGCCAGACCCGAACTGATGGGATTTAGGTGTCTCAGGAGTTTTTCAAGGATTTGCCAACTGCAAACTGATGGAGTGATGTGAAATAAGGAGATGCTAAAATTTTTGAGGGTTGGGGAATGGGTTTTATAATTGACAATTACTATGTAGGTAATATTAAGAACTGAATTATAAATGGTGGTAATGAAAATTATTGCTTTTTAGGAAGATTTCGTAGGATGTTTGTAATGATAAGGTTTTTTGGATCTTTTCTCTACATTTATTGGTAAAGCCGGTAAGGTCTGGGTGTAAAGTAGTACAACTCCATCAGCTGTCTGAAAATATTATTAAACCTACCTATATTTGGTACATGCATACAAGGAGAATCTAGGAAAAACTCATTAGAGTATTTTTGGCATAAAACAATAACAAATAAAATCAGACACCCATTTTTAGAATTGAGGACTTGTTATATGATCTCAGAAATAACCTTTGCAACATCATATAATGTTTTAACAGATACAAAGGAGAAGAGATATTCAAATACAATTATATGGTACAAAGACTACTCCAAAACTATTGAAGGATCGAAATAAGGTATATTCTATGTACGCCCAAGGCACGAGCCATTAAACTAACTAGGGAAGAACCCTTGGTCGTTCAAGCTGAAATGCATTCTATCAATCCTTGACTCATTGAAAATGTTATAAAAAGTCAAAACTAGGGAGAATAAACAAACTCAGTAAAGTGATCAGTGTAGATCAGTCATCGAGACTAAAATGCCTTACCTAACCAAACTCAACACTCGTAAAATGTCGTCACAATGGCACAAAAGGTGATTATCGAATTCATGCAAGGCAACTACGAAAATTAGATCACTAGAATCCACAGCTGGTCGTTCCGTTCGCAGATAAGTAACTGACAAAACGTTTCTTAATTGATCTTGTCTGTTGGCTGCATTTCGTATTGAAACTTAATTGATATCGGGGTGTTGGTGATGGTCTCTGTTTTGAAGTACTATTGACTGCAGATTGACCGCTGAAAATGGGGGGCAAACATTCAAATTCGAGAAGAGGCAGTATAAAGATAAACGTCAAGTTCAAGAATATTCTGACAAAGTTATGTGACGATGAAATACACTATCCCAATACAATCCTGTCAGCGCCTAAACTTGAGGTAATACAGAGTTATTCAGAATATAATATGTATTTTTATATTAATAAATCATAAAATAGTAGTTCTTTTGTATAATTTTTATAAACTGTATTTCCGCCCAATGTGTACCAATCGGAGTAAGGCTAAGTAAACAACTTAAATTCTATTTTGAATATTCTCTTGAGTTATGCATAGTGATAATCGTATAATATTAATCGTTTGTAAAACTAGTCGTTGAAAACAATTTGCTTTATCGAGCATAAATGTTTTTATTAGCTTGATTGCAACAATGTTTATTTTTTTAAGAATTGGAAGAACATAAGTTTATAGTAAGAATTGGAAGAACGTAAGTTTATAGTTTGTTCGTTTCAAATTATTTTGGCCTGTGTCCTCGATGTTTTGGTCAGTCCCACCTTTGACAATTGATGATAGGTAGAAGCAGAAACGCCCCCCCCCCCAAAAAAAAAACATCGAAGATAGACCAAAATGATTGGAAACGACCAAAACTACTTCTTCCAATTCTTAATATAATAAACATTCTTGTAATCAAGCTAAATAAATGCATTTATTCTCAGTATAGCAAATAGCAGTAGTTCATTCATAAATCTTAAATAACTTATTTTGTACAACAAATTATAAATAATAAAAATTGGAATAAAATTTCTTCGTCCTTGCTTTCTTGTCTGTATGGATTATTTAAGACCTCGCCTGGCAAACCGTAAAGATCGAAACTGACCAAACTACAAACTTAACTTCTTCCAATTATTAACATAATAAACATTGCTCTAATCAAACTAATAAATTCCTTTATTCTTGATATAGCAAATAAAAGTTATTTTATCCATAAATCTTAAATAACTTATTTTGTACAACAAACCTTAAATAATAACAATTGAAGAAAAATTATTTCTTAGTCCTTGCTTTCTTGAGTTGGATTATTGTTTTTACTTATAAGAAATTTTGTCAATATAGTATGATTCATTTATTATAAAATCATGAGAATGCTTTAGTGCAATTCAACGAAATGCATAAGGCTGATTGTTGAAAACCATTTTTTTTTTGCCAAGAATAAATGTATTTACACATTACGCCAATATTAATTATGTTAAAAATTGGAAGAACTTATATTTTGGTCATGTCCAATCATTTTGGTTCATCTTCGTAGTATTGGTTTGACTATAGATCCACCACTTACGATGGCTACAAGCTGAACCTGACAGACCAAAACAGCAAAGATAGCGAGACCAAAATGATTGGAAACAACCAAACTATGAACCTAAGTTCTTCCAGTTTTTAAGGTAATGAACATTTTTGTAATCAATACATTTACCTTTTTTATAATATAATTACTCGTTGATAAAATTTCTTTTAAGCAGAAATATTAATCCACGCAGTCAAAAATGTGGAGAAAGAAATAATTCCATTCAAATTTTTATTATTTAAGTTTGTCATACAGAATAAGTTATTTATGATTTTTGGTCGAATTGCATGAAATGCATTTAAACTGAAGATATCAGTGTAAATAAACTGAATGCTTATGCAACAAACTCAACTTCAAAATTAAGATTGTAATAAACTATATTAAAAAATACTTTTGTAAAAACTTGTTAATTTTGCATATTTGTATCAACATATATTGTTGTTAATTTTATAAATAAACATTCATATGTATTCATCAATAAAGTTGCATTTACTTTTCAATGTGGTTGGGTACCAGCAAAATAGAAAGTCTGATTTGTAATGGACAGGAGTAGCATCTTAACAAATGCTACACATTTCTTTACATGTTACTGAACCTGAACATAAATTTACAAAAATGTTATGGTGAATTAGGTTAGGAATCTCTGATGAAATGGTTAAGAAAAGAGAATTTAATAGTGTACATTTGGAAGCTAAACTACTGTAATAATTCAAAATATTAGAAGTGAAAAAATGTGCTCCCAGAAATAAGAATAATAGTAAATCAAGGACATATTCTTTCTAATTCTATCAACATACCTGCCATTATATTTCAATTTTATTATCTCTTCTTTTAACATTAGATTATTAAAATTCATTATTTGATTTGTAGGATTTATGGAAGGAGCAGCTCTCTACAGAGCTCTTAAGCATCTTGATGATGCATTTTTCAAGGCAGGCGTTAACAGTAGATTTATTTATTAGTTTCTACCATCAAATTGTGGAGGGACCTCCTGATGAAAAAGCTGCTCATTTATTTGTACTTTTTGAAAATCCTCAAGTAATGAAAACTTATGATATGATCCACGTAAGTCAGATGTTTGCCCAATTTATTTTAAACTTACTACTTAGTACTTTATATTTTTGTCATTTCCCCTTACACCAGCTCCATGTGCTTTTCAAGAAAACTTTTTATGATTATGTTGTGTTTTTGTTTTTTGATTACATGAATTGTTATTTGTTTAAGTATTATCATAATGAAAATATTGTGCTTAATAAAAACTAATAATTTATTAAAACCTTGTTTCAGTATGTATATGCAATGGTCAAATCAGTTGTAAAACTACTGGAGAAAAATGAATTATACCAAAATTGGTTACAATTGTCCACTGTTGATGCATTTAGCATGACAGACACCTTTACAAAATATCTCCTACATGATTTTACTTCCCATAGCCAGGTATAGTTAGGCAATAAGATGTTGCTCATTAGTTGGTTTTTTTTTTTTTTTTTAATACATGTTTATTTAATTTAGATTGAGGTTCAACGCCTTGCTTCTTGGTTGTACAAAAGTACACACTTTCTGGACCTCTCTAATTATGTTTACAATGTGATATTTGAAATCAGTACCCCCAATGACTTGAAATTACCGGAACCCGTAGGTGAATTATTTACCTTGAATTAACTAAATTAAGGAATGTTCTTTTATTAAATGTACTTATTTTTACCTTTAGATTGTAAATACAAATAATAGTGAAAAGACAATAATGACAGCAGGAGAAGTATTGTTTTTTTCATTACTGCTGCAAAAAAATTTTATAGAAAAATGGAGACTTTTGTATTCATCAAAGACATATGGCAACAGTTGGGCAACCCTATCCAAATGCATATCTGCACAAGGGCCAACATTAATTTTGGTAAAAGGCACAAATGGTCTCTTAATTGGTGGTTTTGCTTCTGAAAGTTGGAATTTTCGTCCTGATTTCTATGGTGAGTTACGTCGATGTAACATCCAGTTCGATTTATACTGTGCATTTAAAAAATTGTAGGTGATGACTATAGCTTTATTTTTCAATTAAGACCAAGTATTGAAATTTTTGAAGCAACAAATTACAATAAAAACTTTCAGTATTTCAATACAGGACAAGGTACTTTACCTAACGGATTGGTAAGTTAGTTACTAACTAGTTTATTTGGACTGTTAATTAATAGTTGAATAAATAAAAATATTAACTTGAATGAGGATAAGAGAAATGGTCATTGGATGTAGAAAACACCAAAACCATGCCGAGCTTTCATCATATATTATATCATATATTCTTTACAGATAAGATCCATAAAAAACTTTGTAATATCTACACACTTTTATATTTAAAACATGTATTTTCCATTCTGGGCCTGTAAAGAATGCTTGTTAACTTCAACTTTCAAGATTTTAATCTGGGCCATTACTACCCTGAAAATGTTATAATATATGACGAAAGCTCGGCACATTATTGGTGCTTTCCTCAAAGATGACCATTTACCTGATCCTCCCTCAAATAATTTCTCCGATTGATCTTCATTTCAAACAAATTGAAAAAGATTAACATTTATATTAATGGCAGGGTATGGGAGGTCAGTTTGGTTATTGGGGCTTTTTCATTACCTCTGAATTTGGAAAGTGTATGGTATCCGAGACGTGCACAACTTTTAGGAATTACAAGATTAATACCGTTATAAAGGAATTTGATATACAAGATTTAGAAATTTGGGGAGTTGGAAAGGCAGATCCTACACCAGCTGAACTTGTAAGCCTTTGTGGAATATTTTTCAAGGCCAGTTTATATTAATAAACACAATTTTTTGTAATCAATACATAGGGCGAAAGGGAAAATACACACGACAAAGATTTAACTGCACGTTCTCTACTGGAAATTGCTGGACGGAAGTCTTACGCTGTAGATCTAGATCTATTACCACCAGATAAGTAAGAACTATTTTATGAAATTACAATAAGAACTTTGTATATTAATAATATTTTTTATTTTTTTAGTAACGAGAAGGAATAATGAAACTTCACTTTTTATTATTTTTTGTTATAATTTATTTTCAAGAAATAAATTTGTAGTAGTGACTATTAATAAAAGGTTTTTGTTTTAAAACTATCTTATTATTAATCAAACCTTATAATTTTAAGTAGACCAAGAACTTTATTAGCCAACAAGGAATAATTATGTTGTTAAGAAATTATTCTTTTTTTTATAAATTTCAATTGTAATCTTAAAAGTTGAAATCAACTAAACTAAAATTAAGCATATGCTCTTCAAATAGCAAAAGTATTAACAAGTATCATAAAATCAAAACTTTTTATTTGATCGAGTAAATAAAAATAACGGTTTTAAACTTTCTCATTCAATAGTTTGATGTACAATGATGAAATGCACTATTTTGTGGCACTTTTTCAAGGTTTTAATGGAATTTGTATTAAATTTAATTTATTTTAATTATTAAAATAAAATTGGTGGTCAGCCGTTTTAATGTATCATTCACAAGCAGCCTTTGCGCTTTACAAATATTGTTACCTTGCTCATTGGAGTGCTTTTCAATAATTATATACCCCTTTGAGAATGTTATAAAGTAATTTATTAAACATTTTAAAGATAAATGTTAAATAAAAGTGGGGCATTGGTGGCCGCAATGGTTTAGGGGTTGACACGGCACTCACCACTGTAAGGTGAGTCTGGGTACAAATACCATTCCATTCCGGCCTTCCATTCCAGAAACATTTTTTTTTTTTTAACACCAGCACTCCGATGGCTCAAATAACCTCGCAGTTGAAATACCCCATTACAAAAGTAGTATTTTAAAGCTCCAAGTCAGTTTGGAATGGGGGTCTATGTGATAACATCTAACAATATAGGGTTGGTAAAATGAAAATAATTTTAATTCCCTAGTCCTGACATAGAAAAAGCCAGCACTAACCCTATAAATTTCAATCCATTTTTTTTATTCTGAATGGAAAAAATTAAACTACCCCCATCAATATTTTCATGTTGAGGGTGGATGTTGGACTACAAGTTGGGGCAAAAATGAAACTGTAATTTGATTGATACCAAATATTGGGTTGGTCTGTCATTTCAACATTTTGCCATCTTCAGTTCAAACAAAGCCATTTTAAATATACTAAATTTTTAATTATTTTATCAGCTTCTACATACTTAATTAATTGACCATTTTAAATATGTTTAAAACAAAAGAAGTACAAAAATCAGAAATGCTTCAGACCAAAACAGCAAAGATTATTTGTATTTTATTTCTGGCTCTTATTTTTGTTACTGAGATAAATGCAACTATATATAAGGAATCTGTGGACTTAAAAACAAGACAAAGATCCTTTCAATATTGACCAAGTTTTGAGTCAGTTCTCAAGCTCATTCTCAATTGCAAACAATCATTAAAAAAAAATTGTATATGCATACATACATGTAAAATTCTGATGCACAGCTGTACTATATTTGTACACAAATGAAGCTTATTATGGAAAATTTACATCCCTTTTGAACATATGGAAGCCAATACTTAAGAAACATTCTCTAGTTAGTGCATTTTAAATTATTTGGTAGTACAAAATTTATTATTGTAATATTTACTAAATTCATTAACAAAAACTGCTTATTTGGGCTCTTCTATAATCTCTTAAGTAAAGGACGTAGATTCTGCAAGTGAAAAGACAAAATGGTAATATCTTTTGGAAAAAACAGTTTTTTAAACTTGTGATACATTTTGACAATGTCATCTTATAATTATATTATTTATCCTGTTCAAAACTAAATGTTCAAGAGGTTTTTTAGCTTGGTATTTCAGTTGGAGTTGGAAATTATAAAGATCTATTGATAAAATGTCTATAAACCTGAACACGTTTTTCAGCAGTTGCCATGTCCTATCTTATTAAAAAAATACTTTGAAATAAATGCATAACAGCATCTGTAAGACTTGAAATTATTAGATTACTGATCATTATTACTTGTTAAACTGGTTGACACTTGATCATTCTAATGTGTCCATATACTCACAAGTAGTATTAGTTGGGTCAGTTTAAAAGATTGCACAAGATCAGTAGTATCTTTTTGAGTATCCCAGGTCACTGAGGTACAAGAGGCAATAAAGAGGCTGACCTAGCAGCGAAATGTGGTGCATCGAAGGGTATTCCTGTGCTGGACGTGCCTAGCGAACATTTGGCAGTTTTAATTAAAGGAAAAATTTGGGACCTCTGGCATTTGTAATGGTGAAACATTGAGGAAAACAAACTCAGAGAAATTAAGGGAGATGTCGAACAGTGGGGTACGGCAATGCAAACATTGCGGAAAGAGGACTCTGTATTGGCTAGGCTTAGGATAAGACATACAAGACTGACACACATTCACCTCAAGACTAGAGAGCCACCCCCAGAATGCACAACTTGTGATGAAGTGATCTCCATTAGGCATATTCTGACTTCATGAACCTACAAAGACCTTAGAGTCAAATATAGACTAGTGAATAATGTGACCGAAATTTTGAAAGATTCCTCATCTAAGATCAGAAGACAGTTTCTGTCCCTTACCGAAACTGAACTGATAAATAAATTCTGACATACAAAGAATAGAAGAGTGAGATGGCTTTGAGTTCAGGGAGGTGACGGTAGCCCTCGTCGTTACCTCTTGTTGCTCATCTCATTAACTCATATAGAATCAACGCAGCTTTGGACCCATTTGTGGTTGTATACCTTTTAATAATAAACATAAAAAAAAAATTTAGGAACAGTTCACCAAATTGGTCCTCCAAATTGTATTTGTAAATGTCGGTGTTACATATATTAACTTTTTTATAGTTTTGGCTATGGTATGGTATGGTAGAAAAGGATACTAGGAAGCGGGGTTTGTACTCCCCAGGCACTGCAGCCTTCTGGCTTATTGTACCTTCCTAGTTCCTTAGTTCAGTCAATAGACTCAATCCTTCTTCTTAGAAATCAGGTCATTGATTGTTGCTGCTGCAATTTGATTCCCTAAGTTTTTTCCGTATGTTAGGTAGGTTAAACCTCCATTGAGCTGTTGCTTCACATTCGAAGATGATATGAGTGGCTGTTTCCTCCTCCTCATTACATAATCTGCAAATGGGATCATCGCTGTATATACCCATGTTGTGGAGATCTGTTGCTATATCTGATGCTGCATCTGATGCTGCATCTGATGCTCTCCTGTGTTCTTCCTCTCCTTTATAGTCCATCGAGACTTTATAGGAAGTTGTGAAGATTGTTTCCAGGATCATATAATCAGTTCCCATTTCTAATAATGGGTGTCTGATTTTGTTGATTATGGTTGTATGCTGAATTGTTTAGTTCCCATCCAATTTAATTGTTTCTGGAGCCTAAGTGAGCTTTTCCTAGCCTCTCCTTGTATAAATATTTCCAGTGGAGGTAGGTTTAGCAAAGTTTCTAATGCATTTGTAGGGGTTGCATTGCCCCTGTGAAACATAGGTTGGCTAGTCTTTGTATGCTGCCTAATGTTTGGGTAGCTACTTTTTGTTGAACTTTGTTCCACCAGATTAGTAATCCATAGGTTATTCTGGGTCTTATTACTGCTGATATTTTACTTTTTGCTTTTTGCAGGTGAGGATTCCAGGTTAATTTCTTATCAAAGATTATTCCTAGATATTTGACCTCATTTTTTAATAGCAGCATTTTGTTATAGAAACGTAATCCTTGTATTTCTATATTTCTTTTCTTGGTTAAAGCAGTTTTTGAGGGGTTTATTTTAAGTCCCCATTTTAAACACCATTGTTCCACCAGGTTTAGTGCTCTTTGGGTGAGCTCTTTTAATGTTGAATCGAATTTTTCCCTAACTAGTATGACAATGTTATCTGCATAGCCTTGGGTGTAAATTCCACTTTCATTTAGTTTGCATATGAGGTTGTCCACTCCACATTCCACAGCAGAGGCGAGAATATTCCTCCTTGCGGACACCCCCTCGCCACCATTGCTTCTACTTTTTCGTGGAACATGGAGGCCTGCACATTCCTGCTTTTTAGCATTGATTCTATCCATCTACAGCAGGTTTTGTCTGTTCCTCGCTGTTTGAGTGATGTAACCATTGCTTCGAAAGGAGTGTTGTCAAATGCTCCTTCAATGTCCAAGAAGGTTCCCAATGCTATTTCTTGGTTGTTCAGTGAATCCACTATTTGTAACGTCAATTGATGTAGTGCTGATTCACATGATTTTCCTTTCTGATAAGCATGTTGATATTTGTGAAGGGGTTTTTCTTTTAAAGAACTGCCCCTTATATGTTTTTCAACTAGCCTTTCAAGTGTTTTGAGTAGAAAGAATGGTAGGCTAATCGGTCTATACGATTTTGCGTCTGTGTATTTGTTCCGAGCGGCTTTAGGAATGAAAACTACTTTTACAGTTCTCCATATGCTTGGGATGTATCCCATTGCTAGGCACGTTTGTATATTTTTACAAGTAGGGGGATTAGTGTTATTTTTCCCTTTTGTAGTAGTACTGGGTATATCCCGTCTGTTCCTGGAGATTTGATTGGGCTAAAGTTATCGATAGCCCATTCAATCTTATCATAGGTGATTACTGTTTTAGCTATTTGCCAATCTTCCCTGCTGGCTTTGTGGCCTTTGTCGGGTTCAGCACTCTCCTTTATATCCAGTTTGGCAATAGTTTTGGATTCTGGAGAGTGTGTGCTTATTAGGATTTCTAATGTCTCCTTTCCGGTTTGTGTCTGTTTTCCATCTGGTTTTTTTAGTGTTCCGATGGGGTTTATAGGGTCTTTGGCGAGGATTTTGTGGAGTCTACTTGCCTCAGTGATGTTTTCAATTTCCTTGCAATATTTCCTCCACGATTCCTGTTTCGCCTTTTTAATCTCTCTATTGTATTCTGTTAGGGTTTTACTATATTCTTCAGTATTCCTTGTTTTTTCTCTTTATTCCAAAGTTTGCGAGTTTTCTTTCTTAGTGCCGCCAGGTTATCATTCCACCAGCAAATTTTCTTCTTGTTGTTGTAGGTTTGAGGGCAGGCTTCCTGATATGAGTTTGTTATAGCTTTTTGTATTTGTGTGGAAGGTCGTTAGCTCAATATCATGGGTGCTTTTGATGTTAGCCATTGTAGTTAGTGTATTTCTCTCCAGCAACTCGCCATATTTTGGCTAATTCAAGATATTTATTTCATTATTATAAAAGATTACCAAGTTGAGTGGGACCAAATTGATTTATACAAAAGTTAAGCTGTATAAGCGTTGTTTACTTTGTGATTTGATTGTATTGAAAGATTTTAAACTAATGCTTAAAATTAAAATTTTATTATTTTATTCGAGAAAGAAAGTAGATTTTTCCTGTTATAAAATAAGAAGTAATTTCCTGCTATAAAATATAACTGTATTATAAGAGGAGATTTTGAAGTCATAATATGACTTTGCAAACATTGCCCTTGTTTCATACCACAATATATGAATTTTGATTTCACCATTTATAGGGTAAGAAAAAGGATAAAGGCAAGGAGAAAAAATCAAAAAAGGAGAAAAAACCAAAGAAAGAAAAAAAAGACAAGAAATCAAAAGGTAATGAAGCAGAAGAACCAATTCCAGGGGGTGTACCAGATGACAAGATAGAGGAGAAAAAAGATGAAAAAAAAGATAAGAAAAAGGAAAAGAAGGAAAAAAAGAAAAAAGGAAAGAAAGGTAAATCATCACTGGAAACTGAACCAGTGGCTGAACTGCCTTGTCCAGAGACTGGTGGGAATGAAATGGAACAGTTGATGGCGATTGCTGAGCAAAGAAGACGAGATGAAAAAGCAAAGCGAGCAAAGACGCAAAATATCATAGGCCACTCCCAATTGGAAAGGATGAGAACAAGTCTAGCGGGATTTAAAGGTGATTCAAAGTCAAAAACAAAAGTTCCGAGAGAACTTCTTATTGTAAGTTTGTAAATTATTTGTGATGAGAAAATTTCAGTGTTATTCCAACATTAATGAGCTATTTCATTTTTACAGGCAAATTGGGAAAGGAAAATGGAACCAAGATTACTTTCAAGACTAGTTTATTCACTTTTTGGTAAAAACAAAAGGGAAATGCCATTTAAATCTTATGTCGAACTTTATTGGAACTTGGTAGAGGCCAAAAACCAAGTTAGAGCATTGACAGTGATTATGATATCAAATTGTTTGAGTGCGGATGACCACCCACAAGAAACTTGTATGGCCAATCTTATCGAAGTCAGTGTTGAATTTCAATCAAAATAACACTTATATACAGTAATTGGTTATATGATATATTTAGTTTAAAAAACTGACTTTTTCAGTATATCACAGACATAATTGGATCTTACATGCATTTACTTTTATTCTTCAATCTTCCTGAAATGAACCAATGGTTGCAACTTGGTTACACCAATTACACTGGTGATAATAGGCAAGTTGCCAAATGCTTGCTGAGCACATGCGAAGTTCACAACAATATAGTAAAAAAAATCTTGAAAATGACAGATTAAAAAAAAACAAGATTTTTGAAAGAACATTTTGTAGGTGACTGCTGGATATGTGGAATCTTGGCTATATCGGTGTAAACTATTCAATATAATAAACCGCCAGTTGTTTCAAGGAATTTACAATTTATATAAGATTGCCCCTGGTAAAACATTGCTCCCGACCCCTGTAAGTTTTGCATCAAAGCACATGATATATGAAAATAGCATCATAATTTCAATTTCAGTGTAAAAGTATGGAAAACACCATATATATGGCTCTATCATATGTTGTATTGTTGAATTCATTAACCACCAGTCATACTGATAAATGGACTCTACTTTTTAATGGGCAGGGAGGGTTTGATCAAATGCAGCATGCCCTCAAAGATATGGCACCAACATTCATATTTGTGCAAGACGAACAAGGGTATATTTTTGGAGGGCATGCATCAAAACCATGGGAGGCGACTTCAAATTGGTATGGTAAGTATTTGGATTCAGTGTTAGTTTAAATCTTAATACATAAATGATTCAATTGTATTCTTAAATCTCAAAAGGTGATGAAGATTCATTCCTCTTTCAACTGAGACCAGATGTATATTTATATTTTGCCAGTGAAGACAATGAGAACATACAACTCTTGACAACTTATGGATTGGTACTCCTTAATTGAAATATACAAAGTCATGATTATTAATAAAATTTGATTCTCTAGGCTATGGGAGGAGACGCAGATTGCTATGGTTTATTTATTGATCATTCACTCAGATTAGGAAGGACTGCGAGAACCTGTGAGACATTCCTCAATTACTGGCCGTTGGCTGAGTATAGTGTGTTTCAAATTAAGAAATTAGAGGTATGGGGTGTCATAGACACAACAGAAACGCCGATGTTCACTGAAGGCACATACAAAACATCTAGAGCACCAGTGAGATTATCTTCTTCATTCACCAATATACAAACTACTGGGTACCAAACACCTGCTCCTGGTGGTCCTGAAACTGATATTATTGAACAACGTCCGAGAGCTCCTAGTTTGGAATGAAATAAAACTCCTCACTACTTTGAATTACTTCTTTTAACTTTAAAAACTTGATGGAACATTACTGTTACAGCGGTATATGAGAACAGTATAGGGAATGAGAAAGTATCTGCTTCTTTGTTCCCCTCTTCTCTTGCATATCCTGGCATGCAGTAGAGAGGATTTTGTTTTCAAGCACTTCAGCACCACTCCGAGCTATTATTTGAGTACAAAGCTCTGATGGGGGCAAGTGTCATGAAATAATGTGATCAGTGACTTTTTTTTTGCTGGAACGTATGAGAAAGTCGATGGTGGAATATCGTGTACCCCATCGACCCTCAATTAGATTGGTTGTGAGATACCTGTAAAGGATGATGAAGGAATATTGAGAACACCATCAACCTAATTGAATGAATGGTATATAAATAGGAGTGAATGTATTTAAGAATGAACGTGAGTATGAATGGGTTTGGAACTGCATGCGTTGGGTGTTTAATTGACCTGTCTGTTGACAGCACCCCCCTCAAGAGCTCAGCATCAGTGACTGGATGGGTAAGACTGAATAAGACTGAGGTCTGCCCCTGGACTGCCAACACCCGGGGGTGGGTGCGTGATTCTCGAGTCTGCTGGCAATTTACTATAAACAGCAAATGATAAAGATGGGAGATCAGGAATGAAGCCATAAAGGTTTTAAAAAAACTTGTTTTCTAGTGTCAAGCTTTCAGCTGTATTTAATGCCTTCTTCTACTCAATATTCCTCAAATGCAGCTGAAAGCTTAACATTAGAAATCAAGTTTTTTTTTTAACCTTTATGGCTTCATCCCTGACCTCCCATCTTTATCATTTATCCTCAAAGGAAGATACTATTCTCAATGACAAATAGCATTTCCTGTGGGCTATGCAAAGCCAATAGGTTCAACTGACCATATGAGTGTATGTACGTATTACAATCCAAATCCAAATTCTACGTATTGAATACCACCACATGTTATTGGTTTTTGTTGTTAATTAAAATTTATAGTTAATCAATTTAGTGCATTATTATTTTAATTTAAAAGGTTTGTTTCTATTTCACCGATACACTCCATTTTACTTACTTCTCAAAAATATAAAGGTTAATTGTCAGATACTAAATTTATATAAAAACCAACCACAGTTTTTGGTGGCAATAGTTGAGTGAATTTTGATTCACTCAGAAATAATAAATAAGAATATGAATTTCAAGAGTCGAAACAGTACTGGTACAGTAGAAAGGTGTTTTGAAGCAAAATTTTGTGTACAATTTAATATTTTGTTAGCATAACAAAAAAAATAATTGGATTTGGTTTTTAAATAAATTTAGTATCAATGTTTTCGAGATTTAAGAAAAAATAGAGGTGTTCCAATATTATTTTGACCAACTGTATATAATGCATAAGAGTGATTCACACACTACACCATAATAACAGATTATGGTAAAACAAAATAAATAATATTTTTACAATTATGTTCGTTTGCATAAATAATAGAATAATTAAATAATAATATCCCACATGCACTAAATTAAATAAGATTAATATTCACTTACTTATTCTTGCTGTTCCTTAACATGGCAGGTTGAAAATGGCGGTTCACGTTCGCAGTGGTGCCAACCCAATCTTGATTCTAGAACGTGTACGTTAGATAAGAAAGTGATAACGTTGTTGGCTTGATGCTGATATCCCTAACTCTTACATAAAGAATGTAATGTAATACCCTATGACTTTCTACAAATACCATTAACTTTAAAGGTATTTCTTCCTTTTTTATTTCACCATTTTATATAGGATGTATATATATCGTACATTAAATAACGTTTTGTTAGCAGTAATAAACAATGTAAAACAAGAAATTTATGTCAAATGGTTTGAAACGCATGCTACCAAGAAATTGCAAATAGCTGAATTGCTATCAAGCTGTTTAATCATATACAATCATTCTCAGCATAAAGTCTGTTCTGAAGAAAAGTGTGACAACAAACCACATATGACAATGTTTTTCTTTAGAAATGTCAATTTAATAAGGCTTCTAAGTTTTCTCTTCCATCTGAACATGAGCCAAAACTTTCATGCTTTCCTTCTTCAGGGCCCTGATGGTCAGTCTTCCTTTCTTCCACTATTACCTAAAAGATCTATGTATAAGATACCCTTCTTGATTTCGAAACTTTGATAAGTGCACTACCCTCATGGTACTTTCTGGGCCAATGCTTTGCTCTCAAAAGACATGCTTCGATGGTTCTTTTTCTTTGTGACATTTGGCAGGATTTTGTCTCGTTGTTCTGATTTTTTGAGGCGGTAATTTTCCGATTGTATTTCACCCGATGAATTCATCCAATGCAGTCATTTTTTTCTCCATCCATATGTTCAGTTCTGCTTTTAGTATGCTTTGGGTGTGTCAATTTGCGGTTCTGGCCCAAAATGCATGATGCCTGCTCCTGCCTTGGCCAGTTGTCAGCCTGTACACCTTCAAACCCTTAATATCAAATTTATTGTGCTTTTGACCCCCAAGCCTCAAAAAATGCAATTTCTGCGGTTCCTCTTTGCTTATTTCTCTAAGCGTCAACATCGTACCTTAAGGCATCTGCAGCATCCGCCTATTCCACCCCTTCTGAGATATCCATAAGTATATGCTTGAGGGTTTTTTAATAACTTCTTTTGTCTTCTCCAAGCTGCAGTTTTGTTTTTGAGGGAGCTGGAGTTTTGTTTAATTTTGATTTTTAGGTGATTTGTCCCCTGTCTGAACCTCACATGACAGGGGAAGTCATTATTTAAAACGGAAGTTGCTTGGTATCCATTGTTTCTTTAATAAGGCTAGACTTCCCAATAGTTATGCACCTTGGCTTGACAGAGGGGAAGATTTTTATGGCAGGATAATGTGCATCTAAAAGTGTGAAGGAAATGAGGAATGATGGTTTGATTAAGTTGGAATACCTCCCTGCAGATAGGGATGCCCCAGAGCCCCTTCTGACTTTTTGAAGGGCCAGTCAAGCTCCACTCAGTCTTCAGCCTGTGAAGTGCAGTGTTTGCTAGGGATCACTACTAGGAAGAGATGTTGGTGTTTCATCCCTCGTAGTCCACCTTATACAAAACACAACTTCAACTACTGAACATATGGAGTGAAACTGTGGGGTTCCACCAAGCAATCTAGTGCAACCATTCTTCCAATTAAAAGTATTCAAATTGTGAAAGCTCCTTACATTTTGTAAACAAACTAATCTGATTCCTGCCTTCTAAAGTTCCACACCAAGCTTTTGATCCATAACCCTGCTGCCCACCCCCTTTCTTATCCCGAGAGCACGCCACATTGCCTTAAATTGGCCTTGTTGACAGCCTCAAGATATTCTCATCCCTTAATAACTCATATTGAGGGCCAGAGTATTGTTGGTGTCTCATAAAATGTCCTCCAGGTAACCACTAGCCATAGTGTCAGTGTTTTCATTAGGAGAATAAAAAACATATATTACATGTATACCAATATTTGTAATATGCATTTACACGTACAGGCAATTTTGTATATTTTAACAAAATTTTCAGAAACAGAAAAACAAGATAACATGAGGATAAATTAAAAATTCACATTTAATTAACACCTTCGGTCAATTAATATCGATGCATTTTATAAATTTTAATCATAAATTTTTTTAATAATGTATGCAAATACTACATAAAAAATGTACAAAAATTTTCTTTAAATTGTGTTCTAAAATATTTTCAAATCTGTTTTTAGGTTACAAATTATTTCTATTTGTTTTTATAGGCACGATATGCCATACAAAATTCACATAATAAGTGAGGGGTACATCAGGCCAATTGAAGGTGGTGGTTCTCATGCTAACTGCTCTTGCACGCTTGTTACTGGGCGGCACAATGTGATTGTTGACACAATGACTGCTTGGGATAAAGACCATATTTTGCAGAGTAAGCCAAGCACCGGGATAAAATTGTAATCCATTGTCAGTTAATATGGATTTTCACCAGGACTGAAGGACCACAATGTCAACCCAGATGATGTAGATTTTGTCGTTTGCACCCATGGCCATTCAGACCATGTCGGAAACAACAACTTGTTCCTGAAAGCTAAACAAATTGTAGGCCATTGTATTCAATCAGGGACTAGATTTTTTAAGGAGCCATTCAGTCAAGGTTAATCAATAATCCATTGCAATTCACCAATCTCTTATTAACAAAAAACAAAAAAATTGTTTCATGTCAATATAACAGGAAATAATTATGAACTTGATGAAGGCCTGGTTGTAATACCAACTCCTGGCCATACACTGTCCTGTGTCACATTGTTGGTCGATTCTTTCGACGGAAAAGTGGCTCTGACCGGTGAGAGTTAATTCAGTTACACCTATTAAGAAACATGCATGAAAAACAAATATTTTAACAGGTGATTTATTCGAGAGTGAAGATGACCTGTTTAACGAATCAGTTTGGATAGAGGCTGGGAGTGAAGACCCTGAATTACAAAGGAAAAGCCGGAAAAAAGTTATTGCATTAGCTGATTGGATCATCCCAGGTCATGGAAGAGCATTCAAAGTGACTCCTGAAATAAAATCCAAATATGGAGTATAAACAAACAGAGGATTATTTGTAATTGAAAAATTATAAATACATCAATTCATTTGTATTTGTATCATTTTTATTCAATGTGTATAACCAGTTTGTTCCATACAATTCCTTCAATTTCACAGCCCAACTAAGCAGTAATTCAACAATATATGAATATCACAATATGAACATAAGTTATAAAATCAAACTAGTTGGCTGCTCGATTTATTTTTTGTGACAATATGTACCTTTTAGTTAATATATTTAAGTATTTGTTTAGTTCTTTTTTTATTAGTAACAATATATACAAGTAATAAAGTACAAATGGATAAGAAACACTTAAGGTGTAAAGTGAAAATAAAGTGGTCAAATTTTTTGAAAAGTCAATTTGTACTTATGTAAGACTTTGAATATGTTCCATGATATTTTCCATAAAATTGGGAAGCTAATTAATATCTATTTCACAACCAAATACAATAAATACAATATCAAACAATATTTATAATAAACACAATAAATAATCATGCTCTTTAGGGATTTACTAGTAAATTAAATTGCTAAATCTAATAGAAAGTAACAATTTCTATAGACTATGAAAAATTCAATAAAGGTTTGACAAGCTGTTTTGAACAGGTAGACTAGAATAAAAATTATTAATTTATGTTAAGGAATATTTTTATAAATTTGCAAATGGTGATAAAATTTGCTTGTGATTAATTTGACAATGCTTTGCAAGACATTAAAATCACTTTTTGTTTAATAGGACCAAGATAGAAAACAACTTGACATCCTTGAAATCTAAAAACCATAATTATGGCGTTTTTGTTCATTTTAGCATTTCATTTTCAGTCTTAATGAATTTGTTAGTACCAACACTCCAATATTCTCTTGCAGACTTGCAACACAACAATAAATTACACTTACAAGAGGATGAACCAACCTTGAAGCAATTGTTAAAGTACACAAACATTTAACAAACTTTTAAAGCATTTTCAGGGAAAAAATCGAATTTCTAAACAACTTACAATAAAATAAGCATAAAGCCAAAAAATTAAATAAACAATTATACAGTTGATTTATCCTCGTTTGTCTACTACTCGTCATAGAACAAAGTATTTACTAGCTTTTAAATTTTTCGTCATAAAATTATGATAAAGCGTGGTAACTTAAAGTGGTTTGCCATCCAGCCCAGGCAGGCTGATCCTTGTGTTTATCATGCTCACATCGCTGTCCCTGGAGCCTGTCTGAAATGAAAATATATAATGTTCATACAAACAATTTCAGCTCTCTCACCCCCCCCCATAATTTAAAACTTTGATCATAGAATGTATTTTAAATGCAAATTTTGTATTAAAACAACTATATTAAGGAATGTAGGTGTAAACAAGATAAAATAGGAATGGAAATGGAAACTCACAAATTAAAAAAAAAATTAAAACATAACTGCAATAAAATGTAATAATGTATAAAAAAAATCTGATCCACTACAACCATCTTTCATACCAAATTGTTAGCCATAGAAACGTGCACATCAAATAAATAACACACATTGCAAGGGTGTGACAATAATACAATAAAGCCGACAGATTAAAATAGACAAATTAAATCCAAATTATTTTGAAACTGTCTGAATATCCCAACCAAATTGAGATATACGAATAGCGTAATATTAAGGTGGATTACATGTCATGGGAGAATTTCAGGCAAAGAGGCAGCAGACATAATAGCTAAAAGGGACCTAAACAATAATAGCATAAATTATAGCTACTTTAAAAAAAGAACTGGAGTCTTGGGTTACTAAAGAATGCCACAAATACTGGGAAAGTTATCAGGTATGAGGTAAGCAAAAAGACTACTCGCTAAAATAACCCACAGAGGAAATCCTAGTCAATAGAAAGGAATTTAAAATCCTAATGCCTCCTAATTTCAAGTGCGGCGGTTTGATTGACTCTCAACTAGTTGCCTTGTGAAGGCTTTTCTTAGCTGGTTTCACATCTAATTTGAATTTGAACATTCGTAATTAACTTGTGGAATCAACTTCTCTTCCCAATGTCAGTATAATGTGGGAAGCAGGAGCACTTATTGTACAAAAAAGGAGGAAAACTAGTCATAGAAAAGTATGAGTTCATTCGTTGTAACAAAATTGGGAAACAGACACTTCCATCCAAAATTATCTCCTTTTAATTTTGTCTCTAATTGCGGGATAAATACGAATTTCTTCAATGAACTGTTCCACGTTGAAACTTGCAATGTCAACGCTTTCTATGGTGAACTCAGTTGACTCAACTAGGCAAATGGTGAAGGACGAATGCTGAATTGTGTCAACTTGTCAGGATGAGAGCATGAGCAATTCTTGTCCCTGCTGGCCACCAGACAAGTTGGCTGAGTTCTGGTGGTTCCAAATCATTTACTACAGGGATATCCTTCTTGACACCCATCCTAAGAGTCTATTTTACAGAACATTATTAATCAAAATATCACTTTAAAAAAAAATATAAAAAAAAGTGTCGACTATGACTAGAGGAGACAGAAACAACAGAACATATCCTATGCAAATGCCCTCCAATATCTAGGAAAAGGCTATGGTACCTAGGAAAATAATAATTAAGCAATGTAGACCTTGATTCCACACCCCTGAGTAAAATTCTGTACTTCATTAAATGAAAATTTTGATTAACGAATTAGCAAAGATGAACATTTAAATGCTAAAGAAGGAAGTCCCTACAAATTCAAATGTAAAATAAATGCCGAATCTTTGAACTATCTACCTTCTAAAAGCAGCCTAAGAAAAAATTATTAATGAATTCCTTTTTGATTTGGTTCTATATTTTTATATTGCTATCAATCTGCTGAAGTTCGACAACAAATTTTGGGGTCTCACACTCTCACCAGTGCACTTTATGCAGAAATATTTGAAGAAAACATTATTTAAAAAACGAAAATTATCTATTGAGGAAGGTGGTAATATGGATATGTTAATGGACGAAGTTTTTTGCTTTTGGGGAGGATCATTGAACATTTCTCGTGACATAACAACTAAAAATATAGAACTGAGACCAAATAAATTGCGTTGAGAAAACTTTTTCACTTACAATAATCCAATTCAATGTAGGTAACATAAAAACCAGTCTAATGCACATAATTAAAACATACATTTTACATGAAATCATAGATGGGTAAAAAAAAATTGTGTAACAAAAGAAAATAATTTTATTGACAAGCTTTAAATCATATCGTCATCAGGGTTGTATAAACTGTTAATTTAACGAATTAATTTGTTTGAATATGAGGATAATTAGCTGATAGTTTGTTAAGAAAAGGATCTTTAACATCCCTTTCTTTTACCTATAATTGTAAAATTAGTCTAATTAACAATAAAAAGATTTCCAAAGTACACAAACAGAAACACAGTTTTAAGAAAGATGTTCAAAACAAAATAATGAACATTAATGAAATGTTATGAGAAAATATTTGTATAAATGTATGTGTTCTTGTTTTTTTAATTGTAATTTGTATGAGGTATCTACAAAAAGTAAGAAAGTTAAGAAAACGAGAAAAATCAATGGCAAAAAAAGAAAAATTTACTGTTTTTGCACAGAGGGCCAGGATGATAAATATTTGTCAGCCCATAAACAATATATATTACTACTACAAAACTATTAAAATGTTTCAAAGTATTTAAAATAATTTAATCTGTGACTAAAATAATTATCATTTGTACACACTGCATTTATGTTTACATTCATCCATACACAAGGACATGCAGGTGAAAATAAAGCAACTTTCCATTTTACTATTTTATATAAAAATATACATTAAATCAATAACAAACAGAAAAAAAAACCCAACAAATAGTAAGGAAAATAGTTAAGTGATAAAAGAGATAAACTTCTAAAATACACAAAGAAAAAAGGGTTCTGACAAATAGAAAATATTCCAAATATCACAAAGAAAAATAACATAGCTTTGTATAATGTACTATATGTAACATATTCATTTTGATGAAAGTGACTAAACTTATAATTATTTGAACTCTTGACTTCAACTGTCAACAACAGTAACTTTTGTCTTTCAAAATTCCCTAGCAAAACAAAATGAAAATTATTTAATTTTAAAATTTCTAAGGCAACAATTTTTTTTAAATAATTAATTTGTAGCTTAAGAAACATCAATGTCAAAAATTTGGTCCACATTATTAAAGCAGTAGTTAAAAAATACAATAAAAGAAAAAAATGAAAGGCAAATTTCAAAAATCGTTAAGTTGAAGTTTTATCCAGTTAACTACAAAAATAATAAGAGAGACTAGACTACTAATACAACAATGCTGTGTATAATTTATTTTATGATTCTCCATAATAAAAATCTACCATTGGTTGGATCACTTTCATGTTATAAAACTGAACCCTCTCTTTGACAAATTAATTCTCACCATGGTTTTATACTGTCTCAGAATTTTAAAACAAATTCAATTTCCTCAATACTCTCAAGCATTGAATTAATATACTCATAAAAAACCAAAATGTTGATTTCAATTATAATAAAATAACAAGACTAGAAAAATGTAATACACAATGAAATCAAAGCTGATTCAGGCTTTCAAAAGCACATGCCATTTCATGGCTCAACTTTAAGCAAAAATAATACATAAGCAACATTAATGTAGAAAGTTAAAAAAAATTATATTAAAAAATAAAATAATAATAATAATAATGGATAACAATTTCTACTTAGATAATCTTACTTTGCATGCACCTTATTTTAGTTTAAAATTCACATTACCCATAAAATGTACGACTATATTTTTTATCAAAATCACAGGTTGATTGGTATATCACACAGAAAAAAATTCACTGGTCACAGGATACATTTCACATATGTATCACCATACCCACCAAAACAAAATTCAAATGACTCATAATTATACTAGACAATCTAATAGGATGTCATGCTTATCATGCATCAAGGCGAGGAATTGGTGTTATACGTCCAGGAACTATGGATACTGGGTTCTGAAATAAAAATAAAAATATAAACAATAAAAATAATGCGCAAGTATTGTCAAATATTTTTTCACTAAAATTCAATATCTGCCGCATTTAAAAATTCGCAAGCAATTACTCCAGGCTACATGACTTCAATTAAAACTAATCCTTATAAGCAAGATAAATAAACACTGATATTAAAAAGTATTTATTGTTTATTTTATTTTAAAAATTAACACTCCTTCTAAGTGTTTCTACGTATCCATGATTAATGGTCTGAAACTGAGTTCGGTCATTGCAAACTATAAAACAAAAAAGAATAGAAATATAAAAAAATTGAACTGTTAACATGCGTTTAACTCAAATATAACTTTCAAATATATTTTTTACTAAATCGAAGTTCTTTTGCTTTAAAATAAATAAAACAAAATACACAAAGAGTACATGTATGATAATGGAATACAAATAAATTTTCTTACATTTCAAACATAAAATATTAATAAATGGTATAAACGTGCAGATTAAGTGTATTTTTTTCCAACTGACCTAGGATGTCACCGATATTTAGAGGGGTTACATGAAGTGTTGGTGCTCAGGGCTTAAGTGAGACACAGCATCGTCCTTAAGTGTGGCATAAGAGAGCAGCATGCACAAATTAAGTCCAAATTATTCTCACATTCTAAACTATTGAATTTTATTTTCAGAAATTCATAAAGAGTAGATTCTTTTTTCTTAGACTCCATAGCACTTAAATAATTATTATAGAATATAATACAACACTGAAGCCTAGTGCACAAAGCTGCGATTACATCACTAAATATTTTTAACACTTGATAGCAGTGCTAACAGAAAAAAAAACAAGGTAAATTAGAGAACTTACTAGTTTACATGTATTGAACAAAAATAAAGTTTCTATATACCTGTTTATTACTACTCATTAATAAATATTACTGCTCATTAAAAACAACAAGAATGATTCCAAAGATCATTTTTCAAGCTGGTTTAAAAAAAGACAAACTACATACAAGAATTTTTTTTCTTAAATAAGTATAAAAATATAATTTAAATGTAAAACAATCTAAGATAAATAGACAGTGCATATTTCATTTTTGAATAACTCAAATCATAAACTGAAAATTAACATGTATGTAAAACTTTTAAACTGTCTTAGACTGTACCTGCTTCACTGACAATCAGTGTCAAAGTACAAGAAATAAATAATTTATTTAAAAATGTACTAATAATATAAAAATCCTACAAGACTATTTTGACCAACAGAGTGCATTTTAAAGGTTAAACGCTTCTTAAAAAATTTAAATGAGCGGCATAAATTAGTTTTATTTCAAACATGTTTAAAATGTTACTGCATCAATAACTTATACAGTATATATGTGTATGTAAGCTTCTTGTAATTTCGTGTACATGTATTTATTGGCAAAGATGTAGGAGCAAATGGCATAAATGATGATGGGACTGGTCGCCCAATGTTATATTCTGGATTGACGGAATACATCCTTATTTTTAGTGTAGAGTGAATTTAAAATACCTAGGTGGCCACCCCTATTGTTTGTTTATTTAATTATTTAAACAAGGGTTGCAGAGGCCATATCAACCCTTAAAGTGTTGATGTTTTTGAAAAAAAAAAATGCGCATTTATTTTTTTGTAAGTATGTCGGGTTCGAATGGAGGGACAATGGATTCGAACCCGGGACCTTTATCTTACAGTGATGAACACCATTTCAACATATAAACCGTAAACGTACTGTGTTCCAGTTAGGTGGAACCTGAAGCAGGCTGCTGGCCACTTTTCTCCACGTCCTACTCTCACAGGAAATGTCAACAGAGATCTCTGGCTCGTTGAGAAGTTTTTCAATCCCCCGGACATGTGATTTAGACCTTATGTGCCTTGGTGAGATGAAGACTGTGCCCAAGTGCACATGGAGGTGAGCGTTTTGGGCTTCAGAGACACCCAATAGAAGATAATCTGATTATGTATAAAGTGAAAAGAGCAGGCATACCCTGTCCCAAGCCAAAGATGGGCTCATCCACCGCTCCTGTGTGCGTTGATCTACATAAGCGCCTCACAGGCATGTGGGGTATCATTCAAAAGCAGGAAGCATATAGCATGTGAGGATGCGTAGACTACATCTACTGAGTCCCAAGGATGGGCACAGGGAAGTGGGTGAGGAACGGTGATGTGTCACTTATAACCCCTCCCATTCCTGCAACTTCTTGTTTTCTCGAGGCAGCCACTGTAAGGATATCTTCAGAGGTCAAACTAAAGGAGGTATCACGCCCTGCTCATTCAGTGAAGACGTAGCAATTCTAGGGTGGAGCAGGCGCAATCTAAAAGGACGTGCACTGGAAGCCTCATGGTCACCCGTTGCCTGAATATTAGGGGAGAGCCTGACCACTTCTCTCCTGAATATATCATGTGGAGAATGAACAGTTTTGATCCGAGATGTGTTACACAGCCTGAAAAGGTGGGCTCACAATCTCAGAATTATCCCTCGAGGTGAGGTAGTCAGGATAGGCGGTCGATTTGTTCAACCCTTGAATGATCATTCTCACCTCTCTCATCCACTCAGAGGAACTGTACCCCATCATTTGTGAGATCATGGGGACAAAGCGTGATATATTGTGCTTGGGGCATGGGACAAAATCTGAAAATAAGAGAACTTGTGAGTGTAACACACATTCACTCGTAAGCAGAAGTGCGTCGCAACTCACCTTGAAAAACAAAATGTCTGCTAAGCCCGCGAACTAGGTGCAGAGGAAAAAGATCCTCATGTTTCTTTTCAAGATTGTGAGCAACTATGGGATAATGTCCCAAGCCAAAAGGAAATCCCTAGCAAAGTACGTGAACGGCATCAACTCTTATATTTTGATTGGGCAAGCCTGGTGCAGGATCATCTCTCTGGCTGAACTAGAACTCCATAAGAAGTACTGAACTGAGTACGAAACATGGGAACATAATCAAGGCTTTGGATGTCGCTGGTGAATTGGCACAACACTTTGCAGCATTACCAAGTTCTGTGGTTTATTTTGACAGCTTTCATAGAATGAAAACCGAAACAGAACAAATCTGTATTGACTTTGATGGCAGTGAGAGAGAGAGGTGTATAACCAACCCCTGACAGTTGGAAAATTGGAGGCCCTGTTGGGGTACGCCATGAATTCAAGCCCCAGGTGCAACAGTATCCCATATGAAATGCTGTGAATCCTTCCCCAGGGTGCGAAGCATAACCTATTGGAATTCTTCATTCACATAGCCACCTGGAGTCTTGGGGGCAAAAGCGTTTTACAGCCAGTATCAGGTGGGAATCCATAGGCATCGTTCTGCAGTCAATTATGCTTGCCTTCTTGAGAGTGATATTCAGAATACGTTTCTGAATAGAGAGCACTCTCTGGCTGTATTCTTTGGCCTCGATAAAGCATATGATACAACATGGAGATATGTGATATTTCGGAAATGTAGGAATATTGGATTTAGAGGCATATTATCCCAGTTTCTTGAGGCTTTCTGGAGGAACCAAAGATTCCCTGTCAGATTGGGGTCTGTGCTCTCTCCAGGGACTTTGTTCAAGAGAATAGAGTCCGTCAGGGTTCTCAGTGATACGCATTTTCTCAATTGCAGTGAACAATATCGACCAATTAGACAATTATTTTATGTCAACAGCTTATGCTTCCTTTCACGAGGTTAGAGAGGTTATAAAGCCAGCAATAAACATTATGGATGGAAGAGCCGAGGAAACCGGTTTCGCTTTCTCTGCATCAAAAACTGTTGCATCCACTTTTGCAGGTTGAGGAGGGCTCACACCCCTCTGCATCTCTGTCTGAGGGATGCTGCGACAAGGTACCTAGAGTTGGTGAAGATCCTAGGCTTCACGTTTGATTGAAATCGTCGGTCACGTCAGGTGGGGAGCAAACAGGAAGACCCTCCTGAAGACATTTGACTCACTGTTGTGGTCAAGCTTGTTTTATGGTTGCATGGCATATTTTTCAGCCTGAAAAACAAGCCTGCAGATGATTGATAGGCTCTACTATCAGGTCTTTGAGTGGTCTCTTGTTCATTCAGAACAAGCCCTTTGACCAGCCTGTGCTGGCGACGTACTGGGAGTACTGCCGCCCGAATTTCAGAGGGAACAGCTCACCCTCTACTATGTAGCAGGGTTCCTTGCCAAACCGGGACATCCAATTTCGGGTGCACTTACGTTCAATAAGAAAAAACAGTGTTTTTCGAAAATTAATTACATTAGCTGTTTAGAAAATTTAAAGATGCCAGTACAGTAGAATATACAAGCAAATTCAGACTCAGACGCAACCTCTAAGAATACTCTCCAGCGAGGCCTTAAGGAGTACTCACTGGGAACTGCCCTCAAGCGGGACAACCGGCCAACTCCATTCTGGGTCCTCTAGGATGGCCAAGACTACTCCACCCGTACCTTTACCAAACTAAGTTCTTGGAGCTTAGGTCTAAGTACACTGGTTTTTGGCTCATCTTAACAGACAGGTCTAAGACTGACAAAGGTATGGCTTGTGCCCTGTATCGCGAGGGTGTGTCCATTTTGTATTCGCTCCTACCACGCAAGAGAATTACATGGCAGAATTATATGCGATTTGGCAAGTGCTTGGGGTGATTCAAGACGATGGTGGCTATTCTGACCTAGCCTGCACCAACTCCTTCAGGGCAGTTATTGTTGTCCGTGACAGGTTTTCTGTTGACCCTCTCATAGTGCTTTTATTGGAGAGATACCACAAACTGAAGCGTCTCAGCAAATGGTACTTGTTGTTGGCGTACTTGGACAAAGGTCTGGAGGGTGGACGAGGCGGCTAAGTTCCCACCTCCGGACTTAATCACCATAATTGCCCCTCGGATGTAAAGAATGCAATAAAAAAAACATTTAAAGAATGTGGCAGCATCAATGAGCCGGGTTGACAGAAAAGCTCTCTTGTATCAAGAGCAGTGTGGATTCTGACTCGTAGAAGAAGGGTTGTCCTCTCCACAGATATTTACTTTTGGGCCAAACCTCATGTATGTGTCCAGTATGCAGAGAAAGGTTGCTCAAAGTGTCCCACCTAATTGAAGGGTGCAATTCCTTGGCTCCATACCAATAGCATGCAGGAATTTCACCCGATTTGAGAATTGTGCTTGAGCACAGCAGCTGTTCCCTGTTCCGATTCTTGGAGGAAACAGGGTTGTTTTATTGTATATAGTAATAATAGTTTTATACACCTAGCTTGTGTTCTGAGGGAATGTATTTATTAGCAGGAATGTATGAATATGTGTAAAGGGTAATGGAGGAACATCAAGTACTCCACCACCCAACTGAATGGATAATATGTAAATAGGAAAGAATATATGTACAAATGAATGTAAGTATGAATGGGTTTTTGGAACTGCATGCACTGGGTGCTAAATTGACCCCCCCCCCCAGAGCCCAATCTCGGAGGCTTGACAGATAAGACTGAGGACTGCCAACAACTGGGGTGGGTGATTCTCGAGTCTGCCAGCAGTAAATAGCAAAAATCTGGAATTGCTGGTATACCATGGGAAGTGAATAGGCTCAACTCAGCACAGAATACAGACATGTGCAGATTTGAGCCTATATAAATACAAACCCAAATCTTCGAAAAAAATGTTTTTCTTAATAAACATAATTATTCCTTTTACAAAAATTAAGGAAAAGGATAAAGAACAAAGCTATTTTTTTGTTCTTTCAGAAAGTAAAAATATTAAGCTGAACTTCATCAGTTTCTTTTTAGTTTTTTTTTAAATTATAAATTCAAAGATAGCAAAATATATGTAGAAACTGTTAAATTCAGTTTATGTATTTATTTATTTTTTTTAACTTTCTGATAGAAAAAAAATTCATTGTAAAAAGGAACACATGTTCAATAAGAAAACAGTGTTTTTCGAAAATTAATTTATGTTAGCTGTTTAGTAAATTTAAATGGAAACAGTTACAATTGAAATAAAATGGGTAACATTCGAGTTGTAAAGAGTTACATTTGACTTGGAAAGGGCTAAATTTAGTTTGTAGATTGTTTCATTTGATTTAGGAAAGGATCAAATAGATTAGGAAATGCTATAATTTCATCCTAATGATTTAAGCACATACATTTAAAATATTTTAAGGTGAATGAATTTTGAAATCCCGTCTTCCTTTTAAATTTACTTTATTCATTCGTGTATGCATTTGAATTCGATGATGACATTATTTATTGGTCCTATTTTTACTGCAAATAAATATATTTTTTATTCCCTACACCAAAATGGCGAAAATAAGTGATATTTGTAATGATTATTAGTGTTAGAGATTTTAATTATTCCTACTGCAGAAATACAGATTCAATGAGTTTGCCACTGTGAACATCATTTTGATAGTATGTAAAAATGTATTTATTCAAACATTTTTTAGCATTTCACCATCTTCGACACTGAATGCATCTGCCAGACCAACTGAGTAAGGATAGGCAGACCAAACTGATCAGTAACGACCAAATTTCAAATAAAACTATAAATGAATTTTTTTGTGTGTGAATATTTTCCATTATCATAGATGTATTCTTTCAGTAGTGCCATGAAAATTACCAAATTTAGCAACTATATAAATTAATAATATAAAACTACAAATATATATGGCTGATTATTAAACTAGGAGTTGGAAAGAGAAGAAAAAGAGAAAATGTTTTCAGATTGAAATTGTATTTCTTGAAGTTTCGGCTCTCTTGAAACCATAAATAAAAAATAAAGATCTTCATCACATACTCAAAAATTATGGAGTGCAATAATCTATGTTATACACCAATGAAGATGGAAATAAATACATTGTCAAACAACAATTTTTTTTTGGGGGGGGGATGGGGTCAATAAGAATTTCAAACCTTTTCTCCTCTGCGACCTATATAGGTCACTGTGTAACCCCTACAATAATAATCAAACCTTAAAAACAGTACTTTTCTCTATAAGACTAAGCAATTTCCTCAGTGCTTCTTCGCACATCTTGTTTCACCTTTCACTTCCCTGGCCTACTCCTTGAATAATAATCAACAAATATGGAATCCAGCCCGGCCGACAAAAATAAAATCAACAATATATTTTTAGGGATTAACCAGAGGTTTTGACTAATAATGTTTTGTTGTAATTTTAAGTTTCTAAAGTAACTGTTTCATCAAAATAATAAGTTAAGAAATAAAGTTCAGTTTATCATAATAATAAGATTTGTATTACCATAATTTTGTTTTTTTATAGTTGGTTAATATTTCATGTTAATCTTTTTGCTGAACTTTATTTGAAGTATAGTGTACCATATATTAATAGAGCTCCTTTAGCCATAAACTTCTTAAAATTTTGGTACAAAATAATATGTAAGCAATTTTTCTAGAGAATACTATTTACGATTTACTATTACGATAACTAGTGAAAAGCTTAAGAAACTATTTGCTACAGTTAAAAGTAAATAATAAATCTTTAAGCATCTATGTTCTCTGTGTGGATGTGCAATGTTTACTAAGCGAAATAAAAACTAAAGATTTCCACATGTTTAAATATTTCTGGCAACTGGACGAAATCATGCTAGACAGAGACAAAGAAACCAGAAAACTCACCCTTTGCGTTCCCCTCGTACCATCAGGTTCTTGAATGCAAAGGTCAGAATCAGACTCTGACCGGTAAGGTTCCTGAAGTACAAAAATAAAATAAATATATTTTTTAAAAAGTCTGTGTGTGGATAGAAGGAAATGAGAGATAATTACCGCATCGCTGTATGACATTTGTTGTGTCGTAGTCAAATATCTTGCTATTGTGTTCAGTGAGACAGGCAACGTCTCGAGCAGTGTTGGTCTAGCATGGGTCAACAGTGGTTTCATGAAGTTAGTATCAAAATTACCCCAAATCTTTGCCAGCCAAGCTTTTTCCCCACTTCCCCTTGGACTAGTAGCACCATCCTCCTGAAGATTAACCAAAATGATACTAAAATTATGTTTTCCATGAATTTAAAATACACACATTCATGCTCTATACTATAAAGAAAAGTACAAGTACAGACAAAAAATGGTTAAAAAAATAATAACAAATGAGTTAGCCATTCACTATATATTTTAATTGTTAAAGTTAATAAAAACTAGGTATTCCATGGAAGTTTACTTTATTTAGAGATGCATGTTTTGGGCTATACAGCCCATATTCAGCATTCCGCATTCCCACATTCAACAGATGGGCTTTATGACCCCAACTTCCATCTCTAAATAAATTAACTACCATGGAATACCGGATTTCTTTCAACCTTATTATTCTATCTCACTGTGGACTCAACTATGAATATATATTTTAATACTGTCATTTTCTTGAGCAATAAATATGTCCATTCCATGCAGGATCTATGAGTTGAATGTAGGATAGAGGCTAATGAAAATAAATGCAAAATCATCATAAGATTCTTATTTCTCAAGTTTTCAATAAACAATATATCATCCCCAAACAGGAACAAATCTAGGAAATTTTAAATGTCAAAATAAAATGTGATCACCAAAGAATAAGAAAGCAAAATGTATGAAGAAATTCACTAGTTTTGAAGTCCGCTTGACCAAGTAATATCTTACAATTAATTAAGGTTTTTAGTTGAGATAAAAAAATTAATGGCATAAGCGGGATTCGAACCCACGATAAGAAAAATGGCAAAAAGGAGGGAAAATTCAAAAGGTGGGGTTGAGATGGGAAGTTGGTGTCCCAGTGGATCGAGGTCACGATAGCTCAAGTGGTAGAGTAGCGGCGTATCTAGCAGAAGATCGTGGGTTCGAATCCCACTCATGCCATTAACATTTTTATCTAAACTAAAAACCTTAATTAATTGTAAGAAGTAACTTCAATCATGTTAAGAACAAAAAATTCATTTTTGTCCTTAAAAAATAGACATTTTTTAGGAGATCATGCATGTCTGTTCTGATGAAAATCGTCTTGTGATGTCATTTTATATATGGACATCAAATTTAATTGTGGCTTAAATTTTGGACATCACTTGACAAAGGATATCTCTGGATATATATTATGAAGCTGTATCATTATTCAACAATTTCAGTAATAAAATCCATACAAAGAAGCAGAATGAATCATTGCAAGATTTTTCCTTGTGAAACAACACAACAGTAATTAAAAAGAAAAGTAGTAACAATTATTGTCATACATACTTTTTAAAAAAATTAATAAAATAAATACTCTGTATTTTATTTCTAGCTGTCATCAAATGATATTTGTAAAAGTATATCAAACATTTTTTTTCTCTTTTTACTAGTCCGCATATGTAAATAAGTTAGAGAACAGTGGCTTAATCAGTTTGACATTTACTGTACATGAACTTATATTTTGTTGAAAAGAATTGATTCTAAGGAATCATACTCGGGCTAATATCCAAGCTCATAAGGCCATTATTACTACTAATGTTTATGTGTATGTTTTAATGTTTACGAGCTAATAATTTATTAAATTTACTTAAATATTGAGATGTAATTTACAATTTTTTATCTTTATAATTCACTACCATATACATTTCAATTCTTGACAACATAATAAACCTACGATTAAGTATGGTATTAAGTGTCATGGACGAGGGGTCAGACCAACTTAATGAAGTATGGCAATACGATGCTATAACAATCTTGCCAGTGGAGTCTATTTTGTATTTTATTATTATTATATAACAGAAATTTCCTGAAAAACAAAATGGAATGACAGAGAAAGCCACAAAGAAACAAAGCTGGTGGCTAGCTGGCTAAAAAATTATATAAATCATAAAAAAAACCCTACAGTACTTATGCAAAATTATCAGGATGCATGCACTGAACTAATTAAGGGCACAGACATTAACACTTATGGAAAGAACATTTCTTATTTTATGGTTATTTTCGGTTTATTTTATTTATATTTAAGTTGTTAATTTGGCATAGGTTTGTTCATACTTGACCTACATATTCTCTCTTCAGCAATGCTAAAATGCGCCTGAATAATGCAAGAATAGGCGGACCAGGATGACTGCGAATTCATTGTGAATTAATTTAGTATTTTCAAATATACCCTTTTGTGAACTGTATGATAATATAAATTTTTTTAAATACGATTAATTACACTTTAAGCATTGATTAGAGATCAAAATACACAGGTAAAATTGTAGCATAGTTTCAATCTTTTTTACAAGATAATGGGAAAACAACAAAAATATGACAATCCATGCTTTGGTCATCAAGACAGACAACGTCAAGGGGCTTGAGGGACAACAATGAAATAATGAAACTCCGAAACTTTATACATACCGCATTTGTATTTCCAGTCGATTCATAATTCAGCTACAACGTGGATTGGGAGTTTCAGTTGAGGAGAGTTAAAGGGATGGAGAAACAGAAAAAAATACAACATGCATGAGAATCAGAATAATTAATTTTCTTGTAAAGGCTTTTCTTTATATTTAACGGGGGACTGTAATGTCATTTTAATAAATCTACAAGCCATCAATATTTAACTTGAAAATCTTTTGTAAAAGAAGACTTTTTGCAATAGCAATCGTAATAGCAATAAAAAATATTTTTTTAAACTTGTGAAAGCACTTCAATCTACAGTAGTGAACAAATATTCCTCAGTGTGTCATTTACTGGCAGAAAATTTAGAAAAGGATTGATAATTTTCAAAATCACCTTTAAAAGTGATGAGTCTGCTGAACCATACACAGTGAGGAAAGTATGTAAATAATTGAAAAAACATTTTCAAATTGATAAATTTATGATTTGTTCATTTCAAGTTAATCCTTTTTTTTAATCTTTCAAGCTCCTCACTGGTAATGGTGAAGACGTATATTTGTATCCAACCATAACTTTTTTTTAACCATTTCAGTTTTAGTGGTCCATTGACCAAGTTACTTCTTTCAATTAATTATTCTTTTTATTATTTTATTTTTTAATTTTAAACAGAATATATAAGAAATAACTAGACAATAGAGAATTTCAGAAAAACACTGCATTAGTAAAAAAACACCACACTTTTGAAAAGTAAAATCTTTTGGATTTCGATGAAAAATTGTGTTTAATGATTTATAATTAAATTACATTAATATGATTTTATATATTGTATAACGACTACAGATTCAATTCTATCTTCCTAATCTACAAATTTTGTGGGGAAATAATATTTTAAATGAAATTTTCAGGTGAATTTGTTGATTAGTGATATTGCTATGCTTCTCTTTGTTGGCTTGAATACTTGCAAGTTTCGTTTGACAATTTGAGAAATTATTTTTTTCTATAATGTATTGACTCAAGCTCATTCACAAAGTTAATAGCTCCTCATTTTACTGAAAACACTTTAAAGACTTAAACACTTACAAGTGCAACAACGCTCACCTACCATTTTTAAAGTCTAAACATTACTTAATTATTAAACTACTGTCTAACAATATTTAATATATTAAAGAAAACAATACTCATATTTTTTATAACTGAGTCAAAGAAAAGAATTTCTTTACATTTAATTTAAATTTAAATTTAACAATTAAAATGAAGGGTACTTTTTACTTTTTAACAATAAAAGGACCTCCCAGACATAAGGATAAACTGTGTACACACACACACACACACACACAGGAGAGAGAGAGAGAGAGAGAGAGAGAGAGAGAGAGGAGAGGGAGAGGAGAGAGAGAGAAAGAGCCACAAGCAAATCAACATTACACATCCTAGAACTCAGCTCATGGCAGTGTTGAGGGTGACAAACAGGTTGGGCAGATGGTTCGCTGGGCAGGGTGGCCTTCCTGGGCTGTTACATGAGCTGAGTAGCTCTGGAGTAATCTAAAGGGTGTGGTTGGATCAAATCCCTCCCAAAGACCTCTGAATTAAAGGTATTTTGATGTTTATTTCATTGTACTCAGTCGTGGGAGGCCTGTTTGGTGGTGCCAAATACTCACACTGTCATAAATACTGGAACAGTACACACCCTAGAGTTACTGTCCCTAGAAGGCCCCCTCTCCCACTCTTGAAATCTGGGCAATATTCCCAAGCCAGTAGCCATTCAGAGAAGCGAGCAGTGAGGGGTGTGCCCCTCCCCTCCTCTCAAACATCACTGGTAGGTGGAAAACTGATGTACAAACCCCCATGACCACCAGAAGCTGGGCTCTCTCAAGGGACACCTCTGATTGCATCACCATCCAGGGAGGAGCTACAGACATCCAAAGAAACTTGGGTAACAGAGCTAGGCTCCTCCGCAGAATCGGAAATTGACACACGGTGGTGAGGTGCCTACCCCACCAATAATGTCGGGCAATTTTAATGCCCACAATGGCCCTGGTGGGGATTACGGATGCTAGGGGCACAGGAATTGGGGACCTAATTGGAGAATCAAGACTCAAGACTGGTCCCCCTGAATGAACATGCTGCTACACATATTGATTTAAGCACTGGAAGAATTAGCGCAATTGACCTGTCAATAGTCTCGCCCTCCCTGGCAACAATGGTAGAATGGGTTCCACTTTTGTGATCACATCAAGCATAGTCCTGAGGAGTTCTGTTGTTAGGCAGATGTACCATGTTGTTCTAGCTATGTGGGCCTTGAGGCGAGCGAATTGGCCTCTTTTCTCTACGTCATAGACTTTTCCTACCCTCACAGGAGATGTCAACACATCTACCTGTAGATCTCACATATTGTGGTAGAGCGAGAACTGCACTTGAGCACAAGCATTGAAGTGGGCTTTTCAGCACTTCAGAAGGCACCCAAAGGTGGATAATTTGACTATGTACAAAGTTAAAAGAGCCAGGGGAATAAACTGTCCCAAGCCAAAGGGAATCCCTAGCGAAATATGTGGAAGGCATCAACTCTCGTACTTCGACTAAGGAAGCCTGGTGAAAGATCAGGGCTCTCTCTGACTGAACTAGAACTCCGTTGATAGCTGGTACTTAATACAGAGTGCGGAAACATAATCGAGGCTTCAGATGTCGCTAGGGAATTGGCATGACACTTTGCAGCCATGTCAAGTTCCGCAGCTTGCACCAATAGCTTTCACAGAATGAAAACTGAGGCAGAATGAATCCAGATTGACTTTGATAATGGTGAGAGAGAGGTGTATAACCGTCCTCTAAAGATTGGAGAATTGGACGTCGTATTGGGGCGCACCCAGAATTCAAGCCCCCGGTGTGACAGTATCCCACAAGAAATGCATAGCATGTTGGAATTCAACACTTTAACACCTTATGGGCTATGGGTTCCTACCCCGACTATTGGCATGTCCTTCCTGCCCCTATGGTGGGCAGGGACACAAATCCAGCGACAAATTACTGGCCGATCTCCCAGAAAACATGTCTAAGAAAACACCAGGAGTCCATAATAAACGGTCGTTTGACCTGGTGTCTTGAGGCAAAAGGGTTTTACGGCCAGTATCAGGTATGAATCTGTAGACATCATTCTGCAGTCAATCATGCTTGCCTTCTTGAGAGAGATATTCAGGATACGTTTCTGAATAGAGAGCATGCTCTGGTTGCATTCTTTGACCTCAATAAAGCATAATGTGATGTGGACAGATGCGATACTTCAGAAATGTTGGAATATCATATTTAGAGGCAAATTATCCCAGTTCCTTGAGGTTTTCTTGAGGAACCAAAGACTCTGTGTCAGATTGGGTTTCATGCTCTCCAGGGACTTTGTTTGCAAGAGAATTGAGTCCCTCAGTGTTCAGTGAAAAATGTTACACTTTTCTCGATCACAGTGAACGGTATTGCTGCTAGTGTCACCTGGCCAATCAGACAATTACTGAACACAACCTCTGCTTTTTCCTTTCAGGGAAAGACCTAGAGGAGTTAAAGGGGTGATGCAGTCTGCAATAAACCTTGTGGCTGGAAGAGCCAAGAAAACCAAATTCCAACTTGTGTGTCCACTTTTGCAGGCTGAGGAGGGCCCACAGCCCTGTGCAGCTCTGTGTAAGTGGGTGCTGCGATAGAGTTGATGAGATTCCTCAGCCTCATATTTGATCAAAAGCTTAGATGGCAGCCAAACATTGACGCTGTTGAGGTAAATGGAAGGAAAATAAACATTATTAAAGTTCATCGATCACTTCAGTGCACAGAGAAACCCTCCTGAAAATGTTTGACTCGCTGCTATACTCAACCTTGTTTTATGGTTTCATGTCCTATTCTTCAGTCCAAAAAACATGCATGCAGATGGTTGATAAGCTTTACTACAAGGGTCTTCGAGCGGCTCTGGTACGTTCAGAACAAGCCCTTTGGCCAGCCTTTGCTGCGAGCTGCTACAGCGTGAATTTCGGAGGGACCAGCTCACCCTCAGCTCTGTGGAAGGGTTCCTTGCCAAATCAAGCCATCTGCTTTCAGGTGCAATCCTTAAATGCCTGTACAGTAGAATATACGAGCAACTTCAGTCCCAGACGCAACCTCTAGGAATACACTTCGGCAAATCTGTGACGATCTCGCCATGTTAGCCAAGTTGTCTACTCTGCCATACCTTTACCGAGCTAAGTTCTTGGAGCTTAGACTGGGGTACACTAGTTTTCAAATTGTCTTTACAGACAGGTTTAAGATTGATGAATGTATGATGTGTGCTGTGCATCGCAAGGGTGCGTCCACTTCGTTCAGAACCATATGCAATTTGGGTCCCCTGTTACGATTCTTGAAAGAAACAAGGTTGTTTATTGTATAAATAATTTTTAGTTGTATCTAGCTTGTTATGAGTGAATGTGTTTATTAGTGTGAATATATGAGAGGGTTGATGGCAGTATATGAGTACCCTCAGTTCAGTTGTGTAATATGTGTAAAGGGTGATGGAGGAATATCGAGTACTTCACCTTCCTAATTCGATGATTGGTATATAAAAAGGAGTGAATGTAAGTAAGAACGTGAATATGAATGGGTTTGGAAGTGCACGCGTTGGATCCTAAATTGACCTAGCTGTTGACCCCCCCCTCGGAGGAGCTCAACCTCGAAGGCTGGATGGATAAGACTGAGGTCTGCCCTCGGACTGCCAACAACCGTGGTGGGTGTCAGCAGTTTAATATAAATTGCAAAAGTTGGAATTGCCGGTGGACTACGAGAAGTGAATAGGCTCAACTCGACATATGTTTGTATGTATGTTCATGTGCGGATTTGTGCCTATATAAATCCAAATCCAAATCCAAAAATACTATAAAATGACAAATCCATGAGTATTGCTTTGGGACTATTAACTTCATTTATTTCACCATGCAGTCATACATGCATAAATAGGTATTTATTCTAAAAAGTAGAAATCATTTTGAACTTACATTGTGACTTCCACAGGCATATGGTAGGGCCTCCATCTCTTCTTCAACTCCAACGCTGAACAATAAACCTTTTTTTTGTAAACTACTATTTGATTTTTTTTTTTTTTTAATAATGCTTACGGGATGTTGAATAGAGAAAGGAGCTGCATGGTAGCACCACCTTGCACAATTACTGTGAAAATAACTATCAAAGATGTTGTAGTGAGCATTGCTTGCCTTGCCTCTGACACTGTATTCCTTATAGCCAGGGCAAAAGACATTGCACCCCTTAAGCCTGGCGAGTTTAACAATTGGTTAAAAATATTCAACACAGTTTTTAATACAGGAAAAATTACTTACCAGCAAAAAACAACATATGCTGGAAATTTGATGCAATTTTTGGCTTTCTACCTAAATTGAGGAGAAATGATAGTGGATAGATGTTTGTAGCCCTACTGAAAGCTGCGCAAAACTGTTAAATCATTAAGGAAACCATAATCCACATTTAAAATTTAAAAATGCATTTAAAGAATTTAGTTATTAGTTCAAATGTTTGGTGGGAAGGATACCAGTCCAGCAATAATAAAACCAGCATCAAAACGATGTTTTGGAAATGTAAACATTGAAACTCCCAGATAGGAAAAGATAAAGTTCTCAGCTAAAAAGTTCAGGAGTTCAAAAAGTTGTTTTGTCCTTTTTCTTGACTCCCTCGTCAGATTGTTGTAGGTATAATGAGCCTGAAATATGCCACAAAACAGCACAGAGACAATACCTGAAAATAAAGAACTTTAGAGTTACTTTTTTTTAACTTATATTTATTTTACCAGTTAAGTCAGCAGCTTCAGCAATAAGGAAAGTAGCATATGACATTAGGACGAAAAGAGCAGTTTCTAACAGAGGGAAGTCTCCTATCCTTGTAAACTTGGTCAAGTGATCATTTATTAAGGAATTTTATTGACAAATTTATTGACATTCATTACAAAATAATACTACCAAATTACCCAAACTAAAATTAAATAATTAATAAATCTCATTAAATATTAATTTAAGATAAAAAGGATATAAGTGCAGTCAAACAACCCATGCAAGATCCTATGATCAAAGAAAATGAAAATATGCCAATGAAATCTCCAACAGCCCGCAAGAAAGCGGCAGATTCAAAGACTCCTCCTCCTTCTGTGGAGTGTCTTTCATAGTTCTGTATTGAACTAGATAGAAATTTTTTTTAACATTGAGAAACTAGCATTTGGAAAAAAGGAGTAAACAAAGATTTAAAAATTACCTGCTGAGAACAATTGCAACTGCATCATTAAGAACACTTTCACCAAATACTAATGAATATAGATTAACGTCAACTTTCATATCGTTAAAAATTGCCAAAATTGTAACTGGATCAGTTGGGGAAATTATTGCACCAAAGTAAAGGGTATCAAGAAAGGAATATTTCAAGTCAGTTATCCAAGGTAATACACCATACATAAGTACGCTAAAAAAAATACACATCAAGAAAATTGTAAAAAGTTTCCAAGAAATTAGCAAAAAAATTACGCACCCTACAACAAAGGCTGATATAGAGGTACCAATAACTGCATATGTCAATATCGCACCAAGATTTCGGAAAAAGTATTTCTAATAAACAAATTATATACATTAATAATTAAAATCATCATAAAACTAGAGGTTTTACAAATAAAAAAATACCCTTTTCAAAGAATAGCCAGCGTGGAAGATTATCGGTGGTAAAATGATATTAAAAAATATCTCAGGATCGAAAGTAGCCTGTGCATCAAAGAAAGAGTTACAAATAAATTATCAAAAGGTGGACATTTATTTTGGACCCATTAACAACCTTGATGTCAATTTCATTTCCTGAAACTTTATCCAGGCCTCCACGAAATGAGTATGCATAGGTTTTGTTGAGTTGCTGCGTGCTCCCCTGGCTGCTGAAGTGCAGCCAGAGGGTATCTGGAGGTAATGAAAGGTTGTATTTTCCCCCTGGTTGCTCCACAACGCCCATATGAGATACAGGTGTCTGAACAGCAGCAAACCTTATGAAGAACCCCATTATAAGACCTAAAAATCAATAAATACGTTAAACTAACTAAAACTCAGACTCTGTTTATTGAAATTCAATATGTTTAGATGGACAGAAATGACAAAAGATTAATGCTTAAAAATCAAATAATATCAAAAAATTGTACTAGAACTAAATAATAATATTATGTATATTTAGAATACATTTGTCACCTCATAGACCTTTATTACTAGTAAAGAAATTGTATATTTTTGAGTAACATGATAAATCAATTATCAATTTTGATAATTAATCAATTTCATTAATAAACTAGTATTTAACAATAATGTAGAATAATCCATGTTGAACCAGCAATACCACACTTATAGGGTCCATCTACATTAAAGAGTTTGTTGTTATTCAAACATGTTTCAGCTTTGTACCATATTCAGGGAGGAACAAAGCCAAAATGTATTTAAGTAACATCAAAACCAGTAATTGTAGAAAGTCTAAGAAAGTGAACCAGTGCTGGTTCAATATTTACCGACTTGAAGACCAACACCCACGATCAACTTTAAAGTATTTTCTGTCATTAGGAAGGCTTAACTTTCAATTGTAGTTGGGAGTCGAGGATGAGAGTCAAACTGTTTTATATATTATTACCAACTAAAATTCTAGAGTGGTGGATTTGAACATAGAACTGTTAGCATGCCAAATAAGATTCAGACACCCTAACTGCTCGGCCACCACACTCTCCTCAATACTTAATAATATTTATATTGTGGGGGTCAGCAATGGTGAAATGGTTAGTGCGTCCGACTCATATTTGCCACACTAGTGGTTATAGTGGTTCTGTGTTCAAATCCTGGCCCATGGAATTTTATTGATAACAATATGAAAAATGCATTGTAAAGGTTTGACCCCTTGCCCACAACACCCAACAGGTAGTTGGACATTAAGTCCACCTGTATAACAGGAATCACTTACATAGTATGAATAACATTAAATTAATTCTTATTTAAATATAATTTCTTTAAAAATTTCATTATCAATAAATCAAACTGGCATATCAGCTTAATCTTAACTCACCAACTCAATAAATCATACATGTAAATGTTTTTCAAATTTGACAGACAGGAATGTAAATGTCAATTCATCCAAAGTAGGATTTGTTTATTAAAATTAATTATTATTATTACAGATTCTGTTTTACTAGTGGTTGTTGCTTCAAGAGGAAATAAGAGTTTGACATGTTTTATCTTAAAATTTAACAGATATCAATTATCAGTTCAGCTATCTGTCAGAAATGAGTATTTTTTAGGTTTTCATTCAGCATGAAAAATAGATAACAGAAACTGAAAAATATAAATGGTTTAAATGATTCATTCAGATATTTGTTTCTGTAATCTTTAAAAGTGAACATGGTTTATCCTCAACTGTATATGTTACGAATGATAGATCCATATAGAAGGGTCTGTCTTATCATACACCATTAAAAAAAAATATATTCTTGTATAGACTAATAAATTTCCAAGGCTGTATGTAACTTGAAAGTGCATTAGATAAAATAATCATACTGGAGTAGTAGGTCAGGTAGTTAGTATTCAACTAGTACCTCACAAAAGATACTGCACGCTTTGAAATGTTTTTACTTTTTCAGAATGCAACATATTGATCATTTCTTGCCAAAACATACCATAAATTTTTAAGGAAATATATATAAAATGTATTTAAGTTGAACTCTAGTAGAAACTAAATGCCCCAAAAGGTTGGGTGATGTATTAAAAATAAATGGGGAATAGCTAATCGAAAGCATGTAATTGTATTTTGGTGTGACTTTTCAACAAAACTTTCAATACACATATACCCATAAATTTTCTACTTATGGTTTCATTTTAAAATTATTGGCAAGTAGAAATACATAAATTTAGACAAATGAATATTGAACAGGAAAACAAAATATATAACTTGTTATAATTATTTGTTTATTAAAATTAGATGGTATTACTTCATTATACAACAGAAACTGGTTGTAAGGTTGAAAAAAAAACTATATTTGGCAAATGGAAAAAAATTCGAACGTCAAATTGTATTATTTACACAAATTTCCAATTCTTACGTACTAGTCTCTTGTTTTTATAACTTTGCCACTCTTACTATATTTTAATCCACGTTGATTGTCAAATGATTTATTGACTCGCATACAAAAAAACACCAGCTTTAAACTATATTTTTTAATTGCCAATCTTTTGATCATTATTCAATATTTAAAAGGTTAAAAAATAAGGTAAACCATTAGTTTGTTGATCGAGTTAGCTTTGCTCAATGGTACTTTCTAAAGTAAAGGGAAAAACGTTTTAACAAAAATTCTTTAGTCTTTCAACAATCAAATTGGCAAATGAAAAAGAAAAAATGCATTTTTCCCTATTAGCAAGGGTCTTAAAGTGGACAGAATATTTTTGTTCTTTTTTTATTATGTTTTATAATTCAATTAATACATAAATTGTTCATATTTTAAGGGTAAAGTGACAATCGTAATTGTTAAAGACATGACTTAGTAAATTATTCAAATACATTTCCCTGTGATATTTTTTACATCTGCAAGCATTATTTGTTTGTTTAAATAACTACTTTTTGTTTGTTTTGAAATGTCACGACTTGAATTATTAAAACAATTTCTTAATTGATCAAGTTTTTATATTGATTATATAACAACAATAAAGAACAATCCAGATTCCAGACTAATTATGATTCTATTTTTAACTTTGTGGGGTTTGTTGATGTAATCAGCCTCTATTTTCCCATTTAGTTTAATAAGCCACAAGGTACATTTAAAATAAAACAAACAAAAAAGGGTAATATAAAAATCCAGGGATTAAATGAATTGCACTAATATTTCATTTGGTTCTGGATTATCACACTGAATTGAGATAATTTGAGTAATAACTGGATTATTCAAATCCCACTTGATGAATAAGCATATCAAACTACAAAAATAAAACAAAAATGAGTAAATCAATATCAACATACTTAGTAGGACAGTATGTCTAGTCCCTGGGTTCATATCCCAGCACAGCCCATAGAAATTTAATTGATAATGTGAAAAAAGTAATGTGGTTTGGCCCCTCGCCTTCAGTACCCAATAGGTAGTTGGATGTTAAACCCTCCTGTATGACAGGAATTATTTTCTTAGGTTAAAATTTATAAAAGCCAAGTTGAGTAATCTTATGAACAATGAAAATGTTCTCTCAATATATTAGAATGTCAGCTAAGAAGAAAGTACTCACAAAAGCAAATAGAATGTCTTACAATATCTGTTGTTAAAATTACACACAAAATTGTATATTGACCAATCAAGTTGTCCCTAATTTGAATATAGTTTGTTTAAAAAAAATAAAAAAAATAAAAACTTTTTTCAGTACTGTGTGTATACCTGCCATGACACTCACATGTTTGATATTAAATACACATAATTAAATTAAACACATAATTAAATTTTTGAGTGATATAACTTTGTGATCAATTCAACAGCCAGTAATGACATAATTTTTATGCAAACAATACGTTTTGATGTCCTGAATACTATTATAATCCTAGTGACAAATAATTGCAGTTTTGTATCATATGAAATTTTCATTTTTTCTAATCACGCTGATAGCAGCTTTTATAAAAGTATGAAAAGGTTCTAGTTTTATAAAATTACATTACAACTTTTGATTATTTTCATGTGATATTCCACCATCATGCTTAGTAAGTCGAAATTCAGTTGATCCTGTTTGAATATATACAAATTATAGTAGTGCAGAATGGTGTGTATAAAATTATAAATGTGTTTAGCATTTTTCTGGTATACATTAAGATTTATGCAAAGAAAGCTGAGATTAAAATTTTGTGACATGAGCGGGACTTGAACCCACGACTTCAGATTATGGTGCTCCACCACTAAGCTACTGTGTATTTATTTATAAAATTTAATATATACCAAAAAAATTTAAGATAATAAAATAAAAAATTGTGTTTAGCAGTATCCCTTGAACAATAGGTTTTTATGTTATAGTTTTGTTAATTTTTGTGTGATTTCCACATGATTTACCACAGTTCAACTTAGTAATTTAAAATTTAGATAATATGGTGCTGTGCTGTTAGTGATTTCAATGGTAATCTAGTAATTATACAGAGAATATGTTTTAATGCTAAGAATTTTTGTGTGATTTAACAATCAGACTAGTTAGTAATCAATTGACTGTGTTCATGTAATATGACTATTGCCATTTTTTTTTTAAATAAAATTGGCAGTTGGAAAGTTCAAAGTAGGTGAAGGATAGTTATGCTAACACCTGCTACAAAAGTATGTTAAGTTTCTGGTTTTATAAAATTCAATGCATTTCACTTTACAATATCGTGAGGGATTTTCACCTTAAGGCCTGTGGGGTGGTAGTCCAGTCATTTCCAAAATTTTGGGATAAATATCCTTGCTATTTTAGTATGTCCACAAATTCAGCCAAGTAGCCAAAACGCATCTGACAGATCGAAACAGTGAGAAAAGGCAGACCAAACTGATAGGAAATGACAAAACTACAGTGTGCAATATTTGTTGTCATACAAAACAATATTATTGCAGAGTAATAAAAATGTCAGTTTGATGTGCCACAATTTTTTTTTTAAATTTTTGTCTTATATTTCCACAAGACAAACAAGGTAAGTTTAATGAAAATTGTCATCGAGGTTCAACTGGACCAAATGGATGTCCAGAATGCCCCCTTCCAAGAAGATACAACAATCCTAACAGTAAATAAATTTTTATTTTTAATAAAGTTGGCTGATGAAATACGAACTTGAACAATCCTGTGTACAAAATAAATTGTTATTTTTGTGGTAATAAGTTAATGTTTTTCTTATTGAATAATTTTGAATGCAACAGAAATAGTTGGATTGTACTGTGTCTAGAAAAATACAACATGATCTTGTTACAAATGAATTATTTGTCAGTAATGAGTTTACAATGGTTTGTTTCATTTGTGTGGTGTTTGAACAACCGGTCTTGAAAAATTAGATCATAATTTTGGTGGTTTCGATATGCCTATCCTCAATATTTTTGTATGACCACAAACCCATGAGAAAACGCAAAGCCAAAACATGTCTGACAAGCCTAAATAATGAGGATTGGTGGACTAAATTGATTGAAATGATCAAACTAACAGTACACAATGTGCATTTATGTTCAAAACAAAATTAACTGCACATAATTAATGCAAATGTCAGCTTCATGTGTCACAATATGTTTTCATTTTCTGTACATTTAGGTTTTTTGCAAAATTTCCACAGGCCATCCTAGTAAATTTAATGATAATTGCCACCAATGTTCAATTGGATAGGAAAATATTACAATATAGGTAAAATAAAGTTATTTAGTCATAAAATATGTTATGATGTAAATAATATCTTTTATGTGATATTTCAACAATCCTGGTTATAAACAAATTGTATTTTTGTGGTGATATGTTTTTTTTATGCTGAACCAGTACTGTGACATTGTGTATTTCTTCTCTTGTGGGTTTGTTGAACAGTTCAAACCCTCAAGGAAAGCGAACCCAATGCAGGTTCAGCATGAGTTTGCCAACTCGCAAACCAACATCCAGCATCAACTCTACTGAATCTAGTACAATTTTGAGTGCATCTGAAATAGTTGGGTTGAATGGCTTCTATAAATGTATGAATATGGTCTTGTTACAAGTGATTCATTAGACAGTATTGTGTTTACAATGTTTTGTTCTTTTGTGTGATGTTTAACAACGTTCTTGAATCATCATATCATGTTACGGAAACTTTCATTGTTATGTAGATTATTTAATAATTACAATCTTTCGTACTGTAGAAAATGTTAGTTTATAAACATAATATATTAACGAAATTGTGCGATTTAAAGTGATGAAATGTTGTTTACGTGTTTACTATCAGATTGTTGTATAATTAGATTGTAAAGATGTCAGCTGAAACATAAATTTAATACGGGAGTCTTCAAAAATTCTGAATGTAATTCTTGATGCTTTGATAAATTGTGATGGACGTGGATTAAAAACGTTAAGAAACTGGCCGATATACGATGTGACAGCCGTTAATTGGAGTTATAAACGGAAGCGGCCATTCTCAAAATTTCCACTTGGACTACTCTGGAGTCGAGATAATGCGAAAATACAGTAATAACATACCGTAAATGACGGCGAGACCGGTTTCGTGTAGGAATCTCAATCTGCTCTTTTTGAAAAACCATATCGTAAGAACTGTGGCAGTCAGAAGTATCGTGTAGAGCAATATGTTGAGGCTGTCTATCCTGTGAAGTGTCTGGGCTTTAACGTCCAACTCGATATCCGTCGATTCCGAGTCGGCACAACTCAAAATAACAATTAAAACAGTCCATCTTAGCACTGTATTGTACTCGGCCGCCATCTTTACCCTTCTGGCCTTTATCAAATAATGAGACGGGGAAACGCTAAAATGATAACAACGATTCCCGTTGCCAACTTAAGCACAACAAAAGACGTAAAAATTTTCGAAATAAATGATCAACAGAAACCTTCGTTTAAATCAAAACAAAGAACAAAAGAACCACTGAAAATATTATTTTTTAAAACCCATTTATATTCAAAACATTATACAATTTTTGAAAAATAGGCGGGGCCGCCTTTTTTTCTACCTCTACTCCCAACTTTCACTTGGCATCATAAGAAAGGAAATTTTACTTTTACAGAAAATTACTTGTTTTGGCGCATCCCGTGACAGGAGGCCGCTTGGTCTAGGGGTATGATTCCTGCTTTGGGTGCAGGAGGTCCCGGGTTCAAATCCCGGAGCGGCCCGGCAATTATTTTTGCAACTCCTCCGGGCCTCAAACAATTTTTATTTATTTGAAAGGCATTAAGCCCCTTTACGTGTACATATCTTACAAATAAACCGCATCTCACGATATCTGAATAACTATCGATTAACGGTCACTAATCTCTACACATCTTACAAATAAATTTTAAACAGTAAAATAAAATAATAGCGATAATAATAAAACATATAATCTATCTATATATATATAAAGTTCCATAACTGACTGACGGACAATGCACAGACCAAACTACTGGATCTGAAGAGCTGAAATTTCTACAGTGCATTCCTGTAATGACATGGATAGTCGCTAAGAAAGGGTTTTTCGATATTCCATCCCTACGGGGATCATATGGACGTTTTTTTTTACCATACATAGGCCGAAGTGAAATATAAGAGAAAAATTTGAGAAACGAGACGAATACAAACCCACCCAGAGTATACTAATACTCTTGCATTGCATTAGAAAGTACATTAAAACAGAGTCCCACTTGAACGAATTCGCAGATAACAGCTAATAAAATATATAAAACAATAATGGCAATAATATTATTTAAAATACCTGATGGACAAAATGAAAGCATCACCATTAAATTTGATCGTATTTTGGTTTATTCATATTTTAAATACCAAAAATAGGTTGTAAAAATAAACCATTTAAAAAGAAAATAATTAGTACCTAATTTTAAAAAAATATTTAGTGAAGAAAAAATTCAAAAACAAATAAAAATGTAAAACAATTTTTTTTTAACCCTTTAGGCCTGGCATTTGGAAAATTTTTGTTAAAATCTTGAGGAATTATTTCTCATTCATAAAGAACAAACATTTCCAACACTCCCAACAGGGTGTTAGGACCTGGGGGGTCGTGCTCATTGCTTAAGTTGGGTCCCAAATGTTCGATTGGATTCAAATCTGGACTTCTAGCTGGCCATACCAAGATCTCAATTCCAACGTCATTCAGATAGTCATCATACATGCTCTATTGGGCCTGGCATTAACCCTCATGAGTGAGAATTTCTCACCGATGTTGGGGACAAATAAAAACTGGAACTCATAAAAAATCATACAAACACCTGATTTTCACCTTGAAGTTTGATTCTAGCTCCTAGAAGCCCAAAGGGACTGTGGAATAAGTCAAAACGCAGAGGTATATATAGATTTTTAGGATATATATATATATATATATTTGTACGTATAGATTTTTCTATGGGGCTTGCAGAGTGATGAACCTGTAATTTGGTAGTTAGCAATCATTTCAGTCTACCTATCCCCAGCGTTGAGTGAATTTCTCTGTCCTGTAGAGGAGTTTCAAGTGTTCTTTTCATGTTTATGAGATCTTCATTTATTATTTTATTTTTAATTAATTTACAGCAGGTTCAAACAAAATTTCAGCACTTGTAATAGTCAATTTTTTTCATGTTTGTGAGATCCTTGCTGAACATAAACCTGCAATGTCTATAGAGAAAAGTATCAATTTTTTTATGTTGTTGAGATCTTTACTGACTTCAACTATTACATATAATTACATATATTATATTATTTTAGTTAATTTACAGCAGGCTCAATCAGTGTTTCAGCCTTTGTGAAACATGTCATTTCATCATGAAGTGATGACCCTGGAGTTTGGTTTAAAGACCCACTGCTTATTTATTGAAAGCATTAACCCATGTTGATGTGAAGATGATCCAAATATTTAACTTTTATTTTATCCTGTGACTATTAAGGCAATTTTGGATTATGGGTCAATGTTCTATTATAGGGCTCCCAAATTCATACTCTAAATGCTAACTACATACATATCAAAAAGTGCATTTTACAGGTGGAATGTAAGATTGCCCGATGGATATTGTAAACAAATATTGCTGATCAATAGTATTAAAAATGGTACCCGAGAAGAACCCCTTAAAATGGGGAAAAAATAAATACTCAAGTAAAATGACAGAAATTTTGGGCGCTAACTACTCTTCTATTGTTTGCTGGTTTTTTAAATGTACATTGTGTGTTAAACTAAATTAATGTTAATTAAAAATTAGACATTTATAGGGTAGAATATGATACATTACTTCAGGACGTAAATATTAAAAATTTCAAGGATACAGGTCCTACAAAATTTGTAAATACCTCCAAGAAACGATACAAGATTTGTAAGTGGGGGATATACTGCCTATGGGTCTTTACGACGAAGTTGGTTGTTTGGTATAGGGTATGGAGATCAGACCTAGAAAACTGCTCAATTCTTAAAGAACACAACAGCAATCCAGATAGGTAAAAAAGTACACTCAAAAACTTAAACAATAAGAAAAATAAATTAACGCTAGATGGCAGAAGTGTCTCTATTGTAAACGGATTGAAAGCGTTGTGGATATGTACTAACAAAAAATGTACAAAACAAATAGCTTAATATATGCTAAAAATCGACTGCCGAAAAAGAAAGCGCTCGAAGAGCTATGCGACTAGGATAAACTTTGCGGGGTCATGCTGGGAATAAATATAACGCACGAGCTTGCTTAAGAAGCTACGTTTAGGGGAGAAAACTTAGAGAAATAAAGCTACCACTAAATGCATATATGTATTAAAAAACAAAAAATATGGACCAAACAATAGCTAAGAGCACGGAAAATATTAATTACATAAATCTAACAGAAGCGAAGGGATTCGCAGTTCCATGGTTTTCGACACACTGGATGTGACAAGCATTCTATCTCTCAGTTTGTCGACTAAGAACAGGCGACGCCATCTGCAACCCCTATTTTCACCGCTTTGGTATCAAAGATTCACCATTATGCGAACATATCAAACTGCGGAAACGTTGAAGCTTATTGTCACGATTTGCCTAAATTCGAACCCAAAAAGGAACCGTTTAGATAAGCTTGTTCTCATACACTTACGCCGATTTACCCTATTTTGAGCTATCAGGTCTGTGAAATACAAACAACACATTCGTACAAATGCTTATTCGAAAAGTTTGTTGGAAAAGAAGTGATGCACTTTTAAATTGGGGTATGGTTGGCTGACTGGGCGTTTTGGTCAAACCGCTGTCTAAAGTATGTCTTGCCTTGTGTGAGGACTTGAGCTTCAAGAAATGAGCTAGTATTTCAGTTTTGCTGAAGTGTTGGTACGTTCGAACGCTCCGGACTTCCCCAATTCACCTAAACATCGAGGGAAGCCAACCAAAATTAAGACAACCAAACTACTTTGTGTCAACGATCAAGAATAACGTCTAATGTATAATATAATTTATATGTTAATTAATGTTCGTGAAATCTTTGTTGAACATTTACTAGAATTGGCGAAACAAAACGGACCGGTTGATAATTAGTCATTATAAGGCTATTTGGAGTTATGTATAAAGAGGAAGTAAGTAAGGCTAATCGTGGATAAGTCTCTATATGTCAATAAATGATTTTCCGGTGTTTTGGTGAATTTTTTTCAAACCATCATAATTTAATAAAATTGTGTTTTATTAAAACTGTGTGGTGTTTAGTGACCGTTAGTTAATGATTATTTGACGGCACTCTCAACACGGCACACAAGAATGACACTTTGAGCCCTGAAGATGATCTCAATAAAGATCGAAACGACGTTCAACGATAAAGAAAATGTTTTTCTAAAACCTACGTCACACCAGACCGCATCTCACGATCTTCAAATAATCATTTATTAAAACTCATGAATTTCTGGACTAGTTTAATTCGGTTTACATTAAAATAAATATGTTGCAATCAATCTAACGTTTGACGTATTTGTACTAAATTTTGAAAATCAAAACCAGTCTTAGACTTATAACTAAGACTATTAAAAAAATAAACAAAAAATATAAATAAAATAAAATGGTAATAGTAATTAACAATTTTCCACTGGTTTTGTTCTTGCATTAAGATCAAAACCAGGTAGTAAATTGTTAGTCGTTTTAATCTGTCAATAAATGATTTTCTGTGTTTTTCTGTCAATTTTCTTTCAAACCAATCTCTAGCCATCATAATTTAATAATTTTGATTAAAATTCATGAATTTCTGAACTAGTTTAATTCGGTTTAGATTAAAATAAATATGTTGCAATAAATACAAGGATAAAAATACATATATATATATATATATGTCTGATCAAGTGGACTGTATGGGTTTTCGTCTCTATTCGCGAATCGAATGGCATAGATTTTATTTGTTTTTGGAGAAATCGTACGAACTCCTTGTATGTAGGAACATCTTCTGAACGGTACGCCTCTTCGAACGAACGCCTAGTCCACGGATCCACAATGGACAGGCCTCGATTAAGAAAAATAAAATCTGCCACGTCCTCCAGGTCGATTTGCTGGAGAGCTGCAATGGGGGTACAGAAATTGTCCAAAACCGAAGTTAATCCTTCCCGAGGCTCCATACGTAAAGGTTTGGAATTAAAAACCTGTTCTAAATATCCGTTTGCTAAAGACCTTTTGTCATTAAAACGGTCGAATAAAGCATCCCAGATAACTTTGTAATTGTTCGCGGTCGGAGTCAACCCCTGACAAACGTTTAAGGCTGGGCCCCGTAATCTCGATACTAAATGGGTCACTTTTTCCAAGTCCGAGAAGTCGACATTCTTGTGGACCTAAGTGTCATTTCGGTTGGTAAAATAGTCAGTCGTACTGCCACAGTTACATTTGCCAAATTGCCTTCATTAGATAAACAGCCTCAGAGTTTGAATGTTTATCCAAAACAGACGGCTCATTTCGCCTGTCACAGCAACAGCAAACCACAGCCGACCGTGACATGGATAAAAGATCAACTTCCACTAGTTTTAGATGAAACGAGGATGATCGTCCTGCCTTCGGGCTCGTTGGAAATTGACGAAGTCCAAGTATCAGATATCGGGAGCTATCAATGTAACATCTTATCGACTAAGTGAAAAGGCTTTCCTCACTGTTTCACAAGATCTTGAGGGTTCGTCAAGGAAAATGAGCCCTGAGTTTATTGCTGAACCAAATTAAACAGTTGGGTTTGAAGGTGACATTATAACTCTTGACTGTGCAGCCAACGGTAATCCAAGACCATGGATCGATTGGCTGAAAGATGGCATTAAAGTTGTTATGGCTGATCTAGACAGTCGGTATGAGAAAGTTGGTACTGGAGCTTTGCAAATTACAAATATGAGGGAATCCGATGCAGGCCATTATCAGTGCAGGGCAGGGAACAGTGTGGATTCAGTTGATACACAAGCAACTCTATCCATTCATGTTGCCCCAAGATTTGTAAAACATCCATCATCAATCATTGCAGGTGTTAATTCTGACATTGAACTCGAATGCAAAGTTTATGCCAAGCCTGAGCCGAAAGTCTATTGGCTTAAAAACGGTGATCATGTCGCCAACTCTAGCTTATACCTTCAAGTGGTGAATGGAAACAACTTGCGTATTCTGAGGGTGATGGAATCAAATTCTGGCATTTTTCAGTGCCTTGCATCTAATTCAGCTGGCAATATTCAAGCTGCTGCCCTTTTGTCTGTGACCAGCACTGTAACAAACTCTAGCAAACCTTCCATTCCTTGGTCTTCTTTAGAGAGCATTAGGTCACAAACCGGTCCTCCAAAAGAAGTAGAGGTGATCGCAGTGAGGCCCAAGATGGTTACTCTTAAATGGAAGTCGCCGGCTTCAATTCAAGGTGAAATTCTTGGCTATAGCATTTTTTACAAGGAGCAACATTCAAACAGGGAACGTGTCGTAAACACATCGAGATCTAATCTGGAAGAGACAAATATCTCAGGGCTCAGTCCCAATACAACGTACATTTTTAGAATCGCGGCAATCACTACAACAGGTCTTGGCCTTGGTCTTGGTCGTAACAGCGCCAGAGTTAAGAGGAGTACCAAGCCGTCCTTTAAATGTTCATGCAATTTCATCCACTACAGAACTTAGAGTCTCTTGGTCAGAACCACATGTAACAAATGGAAAGATAGACAAGTATAAACTTTATTATTATGAGTATGATTCTTCAGAGGAACACCACATTGAAACGGAAGACACATTTTATACTTTGACAGGTTTGAAAAAATTCACAGAATATTTTGTATGGGTTGTGGCTTACAACCACTATGGACCGGGCATGAACTCCGATGAGATTACAGTCAAGACTCTTTCTGACGTACCTTCTGAACCTCCTACGAATGTTACCGTTGAAGTAACCAGCTCTTCAAGTTTAACGGTGCGGTGGGATCCACCATCACCTGAGGGGTGCAACGGTGTAATCACAGGTTACAAGCTACGATACAGGATGCGCGATCGTAGAGGCCGTTCTGAAACTGTAACCACAGCTGGTAACAAGAGAGTTCATGTGCTGACAGGACTTGACAAAAGCAGCATATATCCAGTAAGGATTTGGGCTATTAATGTTAATGGAACTGGACCCCCTACAGATTGGTACACGATTGAGACTTACGAAAAAGACCTTGATGAAACGATAGTTCCTGATAAACCATCTGATTTAAAAGCGAAAGCAAATGGAGATTCGATAACAGCAGTTTGGTCACCTCCAAAAAATACAAACATTCTTGTTCGTGAATATATAATAACATGGGGTAAAGGTATACCGGATGACTATGTTGAAAAACTCGATGGAAAACAGAGGCATTATGTAATAAAAAATCTTGAACCTAACTCTGAATATATAATCTCGTTACGGGCTAGAAATGAAAGGGGTGATGGACCATTGGCTTATGAGAACGTTCGGACCAAATTAGAAAATATCGCAGAGCCAATAACTCCTCTCCTTCCGCCGATTGGGCTCAAAGCCACTGTTGTGTCATCAACATCAGTCGTTCTCTTCTGGACAGACACGACATTAGCCCCAGATCAGGTAGTAAATGATGGGAGATACTACGTTGTTCGATACAACCAGTTTCACCCCTCTTCGTTAAATACAAGATACAGATTTCACAATTCAACAGTCCTCAACTACATGATGGACGATTTGAAGCCATTTACACAATATGAATTTGTTGTTAAAGTAGTAAATGGTCGTAGAGACAGCCCTTGGAGCATGACGGTTGCAAACACAACATGGGAATCTACCCCTGGCTCTCCTCCAAGGGATGTGACTGTTGTGAACCAGAATTCGCCCGGTACTGTCAGTCTTTTCTGGCAGCCACCCAAAATCCCGAACGGCCACATAACAAGCTATGTCGTATCGTACACGACAGACCTTCAATCGAAAGAGAGAGACTGGGTAACCGAGCATGTGCCAGGTGATAAAATGGCAACCCTTATCAAAGCACTTTCCCTAGACACGACCTATTATTTCCATGTCAAAGCAAGGAATAAAAAAGGATTCTCTATCAGCTCTCCGGTAGTTTCAATAACAACACCAGCCTCTGCTTTTGGTGCTATAGCAGAGGTTGGAAATTTAAACAAAGGAAAGGGCCTTAGTAATACTACCTTAATGTACATAGTTATAGTAGCATCATCAGTCTCATCACTTTGATCGCAATCTCTGTTGTGTTCCTTTGTTGTCGAAAGTCAAACCCCACAACCCCCGATCGCAGCAAAAAAGGGTATCCAAAAGGTGGAAAGGCAGGAGCCAGCAACATAAAACCACCTGATCTCTGGATACATCATGACCAAATGGAGCTCAAAAACCTTGACAAGAACCAAGATGGTATCAGTAGTAATGTTGGCGGTGGAACTCTACCAAAATGCAATGGAGATTCGACTCCTCCAAGAAGTGGCACATTGGAAAAACATCAAGATCAGTCCATTCATCGCGACTACCAGGCGTCTTATATAGGATCTCAGTGCCAGCCATTACTTATGCCAGAAGAAAGGATTTCGACATTGAGGCGTGGACCCAAACCAAAACTTATAACTTTGCCGATTGATAATTCACACTTTAGGGAACCTGTGGCAACAGCCGCTCCAATGGGGGGGACACCAACTTCGTCTGAATCAATCAATCCGGCCCGGAGGACCAAAATGTCTGATCAAGTGGACTGTATGGGTTTAAAATTAGACTAAAATAAAATGAATTATAAAATAAAAGGGAAAAAAAACACTCACCTCCGGTGACGATAGTCCAGCTACCTCAACTGAGGTAAAGGGGGATGCAAGGAGGAAAATGGTCGGAAAAGTCAGGAAAAGTCGGGACGGGGGACCTTCACCACGCAGATGTCTCAGGAATCTTACCAACCGGAGCGATGACGACGATAAATTCATAAAATGAAGACAATAAACGAAATAAAATAAACTTTAAGCTGGATCACGATTTATAAAAAATTACAATTACTCAAGACGACGACACGACGAATTCAAGCCTCGATCTGGCCGACGACGAGGCCGGAAACGTGGCGGGGGGTTTTCCGAAATCTTATCCCGAGTAATCATTACGGCGTAAACAAAATATGTATATATATATATCGTTTGAAATAAACAACAAAATACTAGTGTATGGATTTTGTTTGAGTGTATTTTTATATTTAATGAAACGAAAACGAAGTTGATTGTCTGCATTTATAGGAGGCTTAATTTACAGGAACTTACTGTTAGATGGCCAAGAACTACAATTTTATATGAGGCTTAGCCTACAGGGTACTTAGAGATTTAGTTTGAACAAGGTTTGTAGTATTTAGACCAAATTTTGAAAATCAAAAACAACCAGATTGATGAATTTACAAGTAAAGTGACTATTAAAAAAAAATTAAAAAATTATTATAATAATTAACAATTTATGACTGGTTTTGCTCTTAATAATATATTTAGATCAAAACCAGGAAATAAATTGCTAGATAAATTTTAAGGGTAGGTCTTGGCTTGTGTGAGTTCTTGAACTTCAAGAAATGATCTAATATTTCAATTTTTCTGAAGAGTGTTGGTACGTTCGAACCCTTTGGACCTCCACAATTCACCTAAACATTGAGGTAGACAACCAAAATGATTTTAAACGCCCAAACTACTTTGTGTCAACTATCAAGAATTATGTCTCCTTTTCATGTTCGTGAAATCTTTGTTGAGCTACTAGAATTGGGGAAACAATGCGGACTGGATGCTGATTAGTCATTATAAAGCTAGGAAGTAAGGCGAATCGCGGATAAGTATTGTCTCGGGTCCGCCGAAACCCGTTTCTACGGTTTTATCCCTCCTAGGAGTCGACCTCCGTAGTTATCCCGGATGAAGGGATCTACTGATGAGGAAATATGTGGGTGTAAGTCGTATGAATACGCATGTTTCCGGGCCCCTGGGTCGAAGGGCGGCGACTCAAAGAGCAGAGTGCAGGGAGGGGCATTGCCCCCACCTTCACAAAGCCGGCCGGCGTTTCACGCTCACTCCTGCTTCAGTCGTCATCCTTGCCTTATACGGTTCGTGTCATCGTGTGTGAAGTCCAACGACTGAATTAAGCTCGACCAAAATGAACAAGTTTTCCGGACTCAAGTACAAGCTTGCCAAGAGCGAGAAGTTCGACGAGTACATGAAGGCCCTCGGAGTCGGCCTGATGACGAGGACTGTGGGCAATTCCGTCTCCCCCGTCGTCGAACTGTTGGTCGAAGGAGACGAGTACACGCTGAAGTCTTCGTCCACCTTCAAAAACACGGTCGTCAAGTTTAAGCTGAACCAGGAGTTCGATCAGGAGACACCCGACGGACGCAAAGTCAAGGCTACGTTCACGATGGAAGGAGACAACAAGCTCGTCGAAGTACAGAAGGGCGACAAGGAGACCAAGATCGTAAGGGAATTTTCACCAGAAGAGGTCATGATGACCCTCACTGTCGACGATATCCTTTGTACGAGGCTTTACAAACTCGTCGAGTAAATGCATTCCGAGTCTTCTCTTCGTTTACACTTATTATCACAAAACTCCTAAGTAAAATTACACTAAATATTGTAATATTTAATATTTTTTGAATACACGTATAATTATTATATCTTAAATTTTGTTTTTATTTCGTTCAAGGCGTAACACCTTTTCAGCTTCAAGTGCTGTTCATGCATGATCATTTCCTTGCACGAAATTGCGTTTGCATGTCTACACCTGAAACTTAAACAGAACCTGACAAAACTAATGAAAAAACAAGTTTTTAGTTAACATCGTGATGTCTCCTAGGAGATTTAAAATACAAATAAAATTTCCATTCTCTTAAAAATGTTTATATTTACAATAATATGTACGATGTAGTTTAAAATAGGTCAATATAATAACGATAAACCGCATACGTAATCGGGATTTATTAGTAGTAACGAGGACGCATTTATAAACAGCTGTAAGTATGGATATTTTACAGAAAACAATTGAACAAAAATGAATTTTCATTCGGATTTTAAAACTGGGTTGGCTTAGGGTTGTAATGTCGAGCTTCCCGGGGGGGGGGAGGGGATTTGAGCCAAGATTTAGCCTCATTATTAAGAATTTCTTGCTTTGTATTAGTATTTCTAAAGTTAACAAACACAACTGCTTAGAGTACAATTTATTAACATAAAACTCAATTCTAAGTTAGAATATATTTATATTTAATAAAACGGAAAGGAAGTTAAAATGTTATCGTCTGTTTTTAACGTAGGGTTAACCTACAGATGAATTAGACGACGAAAGAACTACAATTTATAAAATAATTTACACTCGGCTGACTGTAAAAGGCCCGAACTATCAATTTAGAATGAATTTTGAAAATTCCTGATAGATGAATTTGATTATTTAAGGGAAAAACGAATTGTCCGCGTGGTTTATAATATCCGTTTACGCTTTATATTGTTCCAGCTTCACGGTGAACAGTTTGTGTCATGATTTTATAGTGAAATTAAAACCAAATAATTTTTTTTAGAACTGAAAATCCAGATTGATGAAAGTAATCAAGTCACATTTAAACGCCTTAAGTATGAACAGAGAATGCGAGATGGATTATTAAAAAGAAAAAATAATTAAACAAAAACCAATTGCCCGTCGGATGTGTTAAAAAGGGTTTAGGCCTTAGGGTTATATTGTTCGAGCTTAGTCAGTGAACAGTTTGAGCCATGATTTCGTAGTGAAATTAAAACAAAATAATTATTTTAGAATTTTGTAAAACCAGATTTATGAAAGTAATCAAGTCACATTTAAACCGCCTTAAGTATGAACTGAGAACACCAGATGGATCATTGGAATATAGGAAGAAGGAAATAGTTTAAGCCAAGATTATTTTTTTGCCTTGTTGTCTAGCATATTGGTCAAATCTCTAGAAGCCAAGATTTAGCCTCATTATTTAAATTAAGGAATTAATTGTTTTGCGTTAACATTTACAACTAGTTAGACACAGTTTATCAATACAGTACAAACAGGGGAAGTCTCTTAGTGGTGAAAATAAAATCAAGTAAAGTCCACTAAATATATTGATATTTAATAAAACGGAAAGTAAGTAACCTACAGATTTACTTTGTAGGTTTGTGGTATTTGGTCTAAATAAAAAAAAAATGTAAAAAACAAAATAAAATGAAAGTAATTAAAATTTTATGACTGGTTTTGCTCTTAATAATACATTAAGATCAAACCCAGGTAACAAATTGTTAGTTAAATGTCGCTAAATGATTTTCCGATGTTTTGGTGAATTTGATATTTTTTATTAAAAGTCATGAATTTCTGAACCAGTTGAATTTGGTTTACGAAAAGGAAGTTGATTGTCTGCTTTTATAGGAGGCTTAACTTACAGAAGGCTTATTGCTAGATGGCCAAGAACTACAATTTATTAAAATAAAACAGTCAACCCTAAATTAAAATATATTGCGATTGTCTGCTTTTATAGGAAGCTTAGAGGACGAACCTACAGGAGACTAGAGATTTAGTTTGAACAAGGTTTGTGGTATTTAGACTAAATTTTGAAAAACAAAAACAACCAGACTGATGGAATTATAAGTAACGTGTCTATTGAATAATAAATTAAAATAATAATTTTATGACTGATTTTGGAACACATTAAGATCAAAACCAAGTAATACATTGTTAGTTAAATTTCAATCTGTCTCTAAATGATTTTCCGGTGTTTTGGTTAATTTTTTTCCAAACCAGCATATTTTAATCAGTTTTATTAACACTCATGAATGTCTGAAGTAGTTTAATTAGGTTTACATTAAAATAAACATGTTGAAATAAATATAAGGATATAAATACAAATATAACGTTTGAAATAAATTACAAAATAAGTGTCAGGTTTTTTGTTTGAGTATATTTTTGTTTGAATAAAACGAAAAGGAAGTTGTTTCTCAGCTTTTAGAGGACACGAAAACAAAATAGAAGTTGAGGTTTTATTGTCCATTTTTAATGGAGGCTTAAAGGTTACTGTCGACTTAAACGGCATAACAACTAGAATTTATTAATAATCATATAATTTACATGTGGTTTATTTTGGAAAAGGCTTTAAGGCGTCAATTTTGAATGAATGTTGAAAATAACGAAGAATTTAGTAAATAGTTTTTTCTTTGATAACGCTTTAAACTTTATATTATTGTTTGTTTTTAATAGAGGTTTAACCTACAAAAGGCTAGACGACCAAAGAATTACAATTTATTAAATAATTTACATGCAGTTGACTGAAAAAGCTTTAGTTCAAACAAGGGGAAAATAACGAATATATTTTAAAATAAAGAGAAGTCAACAAATAATTTTTATTTGATAAGGCTATGGTCTATCTACCACAGGAAAGCTGTTTGTCACCTCTTTTATGGCTAATTACAGTAAACAGCTTAATAGAACTTCTGAACAATTCAGGTTGCTACAGTCAATTATTTTCAGATGATGGTACCATAATGCTCACAGGTAGGGATCCCCTGACTCTTTCAGTACTGATGGAAAACCCCATGGGATTGCTTTATGAGAAGTGTTATGATGAAGGTATATCAATTAATCCTGCTAAACTAGAATTGATAATGTTTAGCAGGAGAAGAACATTAGGTAATTTTAAAAACCCTACATTTCAGGACATAGAATTAAAGTTAGTGGATTCAATCAAATTCCTTGGTGTGACACTTGACAGGAAACTTGATTGGAAAGGTCATATTAATAACTTATACAGGAAAGGCACTACATCAATGGTACAATGTAGGAGAATTGTCGATAAAACATGGGGCATCAAACCATGGGTAGCCAAATGGCTATATACTGCAATTATTCTACCTAGATTCTTTTTCGCAGCTTTGGTATGGTGGAAAGGTCTAGAAAACAAAGGGAATAGTAATAAATTAAGGTCATTTCAACGACTAGGTTGTTTGATGATGGCAGGAGCATTTTCAACTACACCCACCCTAGCACTTGAACTCATAAACAATACCACACCTCTTCACATTGAGGTTAAGGTTAGAGCACTAATCAGCTGCTACAGATTAATTAGCGAGGGCAGCTGGAATCATAAGTGCAATAACATAGGTCACTCGAAAATCTCACAACTATTGAGTAAGGTTAACGGTCAATTATTAAGCGTTAGTGATAAAAAGATTAAAACCCCTTCGGGGAAAAAGCACTTTCAGGTAGTCAACCCTTGTGAATATAACTATAACATGGATTATAACTATAACATGGATGCTGACCATCGTAACATAGACTGCTACACAGATGGATCACTTATCAAAGGTAGAGGGAGTGGTGCAGGAATCTACATACCAAAATTAGGAATCAGCATCTTCTCCTCTCTTGGCAATATCAGCTCCGTTTTTCAGGCGGAAATCTGGGCCATCAATGTGTGTTGTAGAACACTTATGGAAAATAAAATTAAGGGAAAAGATATTACAATTTTTTCTGACAGTCAGGCTGTCTTAGGTCATTACAAAAGATTTGTCAACCTCACGACTGGTAGAGGAAACTGTAGATCTTATCAATAGGATCTCTTTCAGGTTTGAGAACGAGGTAACCCTTATTTGAATACCAGCACATAAAGGTCACCCTGGCAATGAAGAGACGGATAGCCTGGCCTAAGAAGGCTCTAATACTGCGTTTGTCGGGCCACAACCGGTATTACCCCACTCTACGAGCACAGCGAAAGAGAGTATTAGTTGCTGGGGCATGAAACAATATCTTAAAGAATGGAATATGTCCCCCGGACACAGGCAATCGAAAGAGTTTGTTAGGGCGATCAAACCAGCAGAATCGAAATGGCTATTCTCTATCTCAAGGAAGGGAATTAGGAGGCCGATAGGTATTCTGACGAGCCAGTGCCCACTGAGAAGACACTTCGTAATGGGTATACTACCAGATTCCTTTTGCCGTTTTTGCGAAATAAAAGAAGAAACGGCAAGGCACTACCTCGCAGAGTGTGATAGGTATGCTAGGTCTAGATTTGAAATCTTTGAAGGAGAGGACATCACTAAATCACTCCCCGAGATTAAATGGTACAAAATCTTGGGGTTTATATATATATATAGAACTCCAGTATTTTTTCTTTTCATTAAAATGAATGCATTTCGGGATAATTCCAATATCCCTCCTATCCCTGCTCAGCTGAAGATGTTTCGGCATGCACAGTACAGAAACGAAATCTAGAATTCGTTATTAATGATAAAGCACAAGTTTATTTTATTAAACAACCAATTCATTTTAGCATTTTTGTATTTTCAACAATAAGCTAGAATTGTACAACAATTTACTTCCAGTCCTTAAAAAAGAGTTTTGCCTGAACAAAAGTAATTTATTATGCCAACCGAAATTAACGATATTGGACAATTTGTAAATAATCAAACGTGAAACTGGTCATTTGTCAACAACTCGCTGAAGGTTTCAAAACTTCTTGATTTCAAATCTAATTGAAAACAAAAATAATTGATTTTTTTTTAAATAAAACCTTGATTTAGAATTTTAAGTGGCGCAGTAATTTTAGTCAGTCAGTTTCAACGTAACATGTATAACACGTGCTGCTTTAATATAAAACAATCATTTCTTATAATCAAGCTGCCGTCACTGAAACATATTTTAGT